TCCGAGCTATTGTATTTGTTTTTAATATTGTTTTATCTGATTTTATTTATTCTGTTTCAATGTCAATTTTAATCTGTATTTATATTTTTTATTTTTTCAATTTTAAAGGTGCTACATATATTTCTATTTTTTTAAAAGGAAATAGTCATATATATTTTATTATATTTTACTGTAAAATAAATGTGAAACAAATAAAGAAGCTTGTAATATTATTCAGTTAATTATTATTTATTTTCATTACTACATTAATTATAAAGTAAAAATTAATCATGATAATGCAAGATGAGTTTCGTAAATTTCCTTGGCACCCTTTTTTACGTTATCTCAAAGCATTTATTGCTTCAGGCGTATTATCATTGTCTTATTTTCTCCTCTAGTAATGTAGCCATATTCTTTATCGCTCACTGTTTCGATTTTATTTCGAATATCCAATTCATCCATTACTAAATTGCACAATACCGGTTTATCATTAATTTTTTATATTCTACTTTCATTCTTAAAGTTTCTATACTTGGTAAATTTATTCCAGATGAGCAATCAATTGTTCTATACCATTTGGAAATTGTAAGTGGATGTGGCAAACATTTAACAAAAAGTTGACGAACGTAATTATAAGCTTTAGGCGAATAAAAGTGCAAATTTGTAGCAAACTTGCGTAAAGAATGTGGAAACGTATATCTTCCCTTTGGTTTTTCGAGCAGACGTAGAAACATGTCACGAGTTTCTGCAGGAACTGTGGCCTATAATAAATATAAATATAGTATTTTCACGAACTAAGCAATGTTTACAAGTTCAAGTCTCAGGGGAAGCTTGTAACTCAAAATTGTTTATAAAAGGAAATATAACGAAATATTGAAAAAATTTTAGGTACCCATGATTATAAATTTTAAATTTAAAGGCACACCTTCCAAACAAACGTTAGTTATTATATATATTGACACTTTTTTGATAAAAATTATTGAACAGTAAGTGAAAATTTAGCAAAATTTAAGCATAAAATAATGGCATATTTTTGTGGTCTAGAGGAAGCTTAATATGACAAATTTCGAATAGATCAAATCTCGGCTTCTAGTATTCCAAAAACAAAGCTTAATTGAAGATCTTGTTGTCAGATATTAAATAAACTTATTATGAAAGTTTTGCTCAACATATTTCACTTGAAAAATCAAAAATACGTTATTTTAATGCTAAGACATTGGTAAATTTACATGCCAAAAATTTTACAATTTAGGGTCATAAACCCCTTCATCCACAGTAAATATGAACATCTGATTCAAATAATTGTGATTGATGTGATTCAGATACATGTTAAATCTGACTCAAGTTAATCACCTCTAAATCATGTTTAATTAAGATAAAAAATGTTTTACTGTGCATAATTCACTAAGACCACTATATTTTTCTTATTATTTAAGGCATTATAAACGAAAAAAATTGTTTGGAAGGTGTGTTTTTTAAATTTCAAATTTTTTATAACTTGGACCAAACAAAAAGGAAAAATTTTATGTAGATTATGTAGATAATAATCATGAAATAGAAAAATATCAACAAATTACACTGCGTTAACTTTTGGTAAAAAAAAAAACTCCTGAAAAACAGTGTATAAGTGATATTACAGTGGTATTACATATTTTTTCTTACGTCTAGTATCTCAGAAACCTTTTCTGATATGAATCCTTGCTCTTTTACACGAGATAATAATCCTCCAACACCTCTTATCTTCTTATTAGCTCTATATAATTTTAGTGTCTGTAGTCTACGTGATTTACGTAATTGAATTATTTCCATTTTTGACTTTTCGAGCAATTTTCTAACTAAAAATTCGTCTTTATAATCTATTGCATTTAAATCTATATTAGCTATTGACTTTTGCCACAATTTTTCTTCAACAGTTTTGGATGGAACACCTAGGCTTTCCTCTCTGTGAACAAAAAGTATATTCAATTAAAAATAGTTATTTAAAAAGTATTTTGTTTTTAAAAATTACAGTTTGTTGTCTTCTAGTGATGAAGGTAATGATTGGCTTTTCAAATATGGTTTTTCAAATTCATCAATAGTAACATTTTCTTCATTTGATTCCAAGTTCTTTAACGATTGATTTGATATTATAACGCATGATTTCTCAAGATTAACATTGTCAGAAGGATTTGGAATATTTTCAGGATCAGCATCTATGTCCATTGCTTCACATTTATATTGAAACAAACCACTTTTCTCTCTATAAATATTAAAAAATAATGAGTTTATTAAATAAATTAACAGAATATTAATTAATAACTCTACTATTATAGTATCTTACAATTCTTGACTTTGTTCATTCCATCCATAGTTTTCGAAAATAGTAGGAACAGCATTATTTTTTAGTCTAATCCTCTGACCAGTTAAACCAGTAGAAAAGAATTCTTTTTTAAAATGTAATGCACATACTTGAAAATGAGGAAGTAATTTTACATCTGTTTTAAAATAACTTTTGATGTTATCATGCCACTCGTTCATTCTGTTGGTATCTTTAGGTACTCTAATAAATAACGAAAACAACTGAAAAAGTTATCCTAATCTATTTTTAAATTTTCTTTTACAATATAATTAATAATCTCTTTTTTAATACTTTAATTCATTTATACTTACTGAAAGAAATTTAAATGAAGACAGTCAGGATCATCGCGTTGACGTTTACAATTTAAAATACAACATTTGGCTGGCATTTTGCAATTGCATAATAAACAATAATAAAAACGAAAAAATTTCTTGCGAAGATAAAAACTAATAATAAGGGTTTTTTGGCGAGAAAACCGCTAACCCGGTTAACTATAGTTTGTTGAGGTTTGACGTTTTGGCGAGAAATGTAGTTAACCCGGTTTGGCAGAGTTTGCCTAACCATCAAACCGGACTTGTGGGTTGGTTTGGATATTAAGTTAATATTTCTATCTTTGTTTATTTATTTTCTGTTTCGTACCATCGTACCTAGTCACTACTTCGTTTTTTTAGAGGTTTGGATAGGTATAAGTTGTAAATAAAAAAAATTGATAATGGATTAACTTTGCAAAAAATACAAAGTAAATATTTAAAATTGATAATAAAAAAATAGTAATCGAGGATCCAAATAACTTTAATCGTAGATATGCATATTCTATATTGTACTGTATAGATCTTTATTAACTTCCTTTTTGACGATACATTTACGTGGGAATAGATATTTGTGAAAAGGTAAACCCATTTTGATTTAATAACCATCTATACATTAACGTTATTTCATGGATGTGCATTTCAGATTAGGAATAACAATTATAGTATATAAGAAATAATCAAACAACTTGAGCTACGAGCACTATCATAGATTATAGGTTACGATTTTATTATTGATTAGATATCCAAACCAAAAGAATTTTTGCGAGTTCTGTCAAATGTTAACTCAAACTCTTAACACAATCAAACTCGAGCTAACCGGGTTTGATGTGGTTTGGCTCGCCAAAAAACCCTTAATGTATAAGCATAATTATGTCACTAGTCAAACTACATTTACGTCATTTTGTCATTTACTACATACATTAGATTAGGTAAAAGGTGCGGGACATAGAAAATATAGTACTAACGTTAGTACCATGTTAGTACTATATTTTCTATGGTGCAGGACTGTCTAGTCTCCCTGTGCATGACGGCCCAGAGACAAATCAGAAATCACAAAATATAGACAAATCTGACACATTTTCTCTGGGATCATAGAAAATTCTGGGATCTGGGACGGTCAGTGTTGTCATAGACAAAGACAGAAAAGTGTTGTTAACTTCTTTGAACTGTTTGAACTAAATTGTCGTAAGATGGCGCACAAATTCGAATCGAAGAGTCGAATCCACAAAACAATGTGGAATTTGAAATGCACAGTAGCGGCATACAATCTATTCAATTGGGGTTTATCGTTTATTAATTAAAAAAATAACCTTTTATTGCTGATAGCCAAGCTTCGAAATCCGGCAAAGTTTCACACTTTACCCTATAATTCTGTTCCCAACGTTTTTGTTGCTTAGATGTAGAACTTTCTCCCCTTTTTTGTTTTTTATATTCAGGCGTACGACACCGTGTTTCTTCTTCCGAACTAGACATTGCAATAACGTAAAACAATTACATTAATTACAATAAGCCCTAAGTAGTAATAATAAAAAAGTTCTAGAATATTACATACTAAAACTTTGGTGTAGTTTACTACACCGCGCCATTATTCCATGGCTAGAAATTGGCCTCAATGATTTGGGATCGAGGGGGATTATCCCTCTTTATCCTGCCTCATCTCGTGTAGGCCTGGACAGCCTTCGTAGGTGGGCCCCATCCGTCGTCTACCCCGACCGCAAATGCGGCCGGTGTAGGCGCTTTGTGGGACCTCCTTTTGTCCTGGCTGGGCCCCGCCGGCTAGGGCCCTTTCTTCTGGCGCTCTTCTTGCTTCGCCGGCTCGTCTGTGTAAACCCCGGGGGTAGTGTCATGTTTATGTGTGGTATGGTTGGGTAGGGTAGTGCGGCTATGCAGCCTGGGATGCGCTTTGCTAAGGTGGCCCTTAGGCTAGCGCGGGAGGGGAGGGGTAAGGAGGGTATGGGGGGTGTGTATGTGTGTGTGTGTGTCGTTGTCTTCGTTTCTTGATCCTGGCTGTCTCTGAAACAGAAAAGGTAAGCGGGCGGGGGGGGGGTCATTGGGGTGGTCACCCAGGGTCAAAAAGTTGGTGTCTCGGTCTTTTGTGTTTGTCGGTCACGTCGGGTACGTAGTCAACGGCTTGCCTGAGGAATTGGAAAACCAAAAGTTTCTCACGCAAAAAACACACTTAAACATTAAATTAACAGTCAATACAATAATGGGCACTGAAAAAATACTATACAACACAAATATCAACGCTATATATAAACTACTTACTTACGTACTTACCTGCAACCTATGCGTAGGTTATATAAAATGCGATCGTCATAATGTTAATATTATTTTCATTGCTATTTAACTAATTTCTGTAAACCATATAAGTTTTACTGAACGTATCTTGAATTTATCAACTTCTCGTTTTCTTATCTGGCCATCTGTCGAATTTTATAAAATTCAAAAAATTTAATCTCATCAATATTTTCCACCTAGCGCCACCTACCAAATTGTATCAGAAACATTATTATTTCCCAAACCCATTTCAAATTTCTTCTATACCGAGAACGAGCTCTAGCTCCACCTACCTCTGTTTTACATTTAAAGCGACAAAGAGAGAAGTATTGCGTTTAATAAGGTTCAGAGAAAGATAAAAAACAGAGACAACTTTTTCCCTATCAACTCGGATCTCTGGTTGGTACTCTGTGAGCTCGGCCAACTACTGTATAATAATCTGTGTTTGTGTTTTAAGAATGTTAGTGGTGGGGACTGGGGAGTATTAAAAAACTGTTTTGTTATGGCGTCCCGTGTTTTTATATCCCGTTAATGTTTATTATTTTGTATAAGAAGTTAAAAGATTCCTTCGTTGAAAATGAGTAGTTGGAAAAGTGTCAGTGATGAATGTAGTTATGGCATAGGTGAGCCCTAAATACTTTATCCTTTTATATTAGAATTATTAGATGCAATTCATCCTTAACCAATCAAGTAAGGGATGTGATAAATACTTGTTGATATGATTTTAATCTCCTGCCAAGCTCCTATCTATATATTTAGAATTTCTTATTATTTATGGATGTAGTTAATTTTCTAAATTATTTTTAGTTGAAAAATATTCTCTATAATTAAAAGTTTTATTCTGCCCCTCCCACTTTTTATCTATGAATTGTTTACCACTTCCTTCAGCAAAATTAAATGTGAATCATTTCAAGAACATGTCACGGATCAAATAAATGTGTGAAATTAATATTGATCAAAAGTCACATTAAGAAATTTAATTTACAGTCAATAGACCATTTGTCCTTTGATATATTGAAGTTATTTAATATATTTAAAGTTCCATTATTACAGTGATGTAACTATCTGTTTTTTAAGTGGGTAGTTATTAAGATGATATATTAATGATATATTGTTAGCTATTAGCTATTACCAGTGTGAGAAAATAGTGTGTCGTATGTTGTCTCATATACATACATTTGTGTTAGTTCGAGATTCCCCAATTTTTTATTTTTGAGAGAAAGTAGTTAAGACTATTTTAGAAAAGACTGGTTTTATATGACCCAGTTTGTTAAATAATATTTGTGAATGTTGATCATTGACATCCTTATTAAGCTTTTGCAATGGGGGACACATTAGTTGCTCAATAAAATAATTATTGGGAAGCGTTAGAACATATTTTAATTAAGTCACATAAAGTTTTAGTCCCATATTATATTCATTGATACTGTCATAAGTTTAAACTTTTATAAGTGGGTGTATAGGAGTGAACTAATAATTATTAATAGGCGCCTTAACATAATTTTACTAGAAATTTGAATTATGTTAACTATCAATTCTTTTGACTCATAAATATAATTAAAATTGAAAATAGCAAACAACAGTTATTTTAATTTGATTGTCTTATATGAAACATAATATGAGGTGTTTTTTAATGGCATATACAGGGTGTCCGCAAATTTCACCGACAACGTTTGACTGTATATTCACGACGATAAATAAATAAAATCTACGAAAAAAAAGTTAAATAAAAACTTTTTGGTCTTTGAGTTACAGGCCTTCAAAGTTGTCAAAAATAAAACTAATTTAATTAATAACTTCATAACCCTTTCTACCGTTCGCGTTAAAATTTGACACATTTATTTGGAGTATTAAGGCGTATTATATCTTAAAGCTTTAGTCAAATCGATATACTGGGTGCTAGTTTTCTCCGGTTACCTCTCCCGTTTAGCGGTCAAAACTTTTACAGAGGCCATATTTAAAAGGTCGTTTTTTTATAAAAAAATTGTCGAGAAAATCACCTACAGAAAGCCATTCTTGAAAAAAATGGCATTATTTGCAGGTCTGTATGTTTCGGTTTGCCTAGTAGGCGATGAAAACAAAATGTTGATTGTTGTGGCTATCAGGTAAGGTCATTATTATGATTTACTCTAAGTGGCAGAGTATTGTTATTCTACTTTATTTTAATATTAATTGATTTTACTAGTTTTTAAGTTCGTTCCATTAGTTTATTTAGGAGGAGGTTTTTTATTATCGTTTTTTTAAACTTGGAATATTAATTCAATGAGCTTGCCGACATGCATTTAATATTAGGAGGATGCAGGATAAACTATCGAGCTGCTACACTATTGCTCAGTGAAAGATTCCCGAATTATCGAACGCCTCACCATACTATGTTTGCTTTGATTAACAGAAGATTACGAGATTATGATTATCAAAACAAACTATAAAGGCCAGTTGTCCTCGTCAGTTGCCACCTGAAGTAGAAGAAATTCTTTATGTTATCGAAAATGAGCCAAGAAAAAGTGTGCACAGTGTATCAAGACAATCAAATGTATGTAAAGCTAATGTTCACAGAACTTTAAAACAGCAACTTCCTTCGGTCATTTCATTTAACTCCTGCTCAAGAGCTTGAAAATTTAGAATCCCAACACATGTTTACAATTTTGCCGCTGGTTAGTGAATGGCTTCACAGAAGATAATAATTTGCTTCAAAGATTATTTTTTACAGACGAATCTTGTTTTACAAGGCGTTGTAAATTTTCATAATTTGCATGTGTGAAGTGAAGAGAATTCTAAAACAAACATAACACTAATGACATTACCTGATAGCCACAGCAATCGACATTTTGTATTCATCGTTTCAAAGTTTTAAATCCATGACACTGCTAAGAAAACCGAAACATACATAGACCTGCAAATAATGCCATTTTTCTCAAGAATGGCTTTCTATAGGTGATTTTCTTAAAAGAGACAATTTTTTTTTTAAATGAAACAACCTTTTAAATGTTTCTGCCTGTTTAAAAAAAATACCACCATTGTAAAAGCTTTGACCGCTAATAGGGGGAGGTAACCGGAGAAAACTATCACCCAGTATATCGATTTGGAAGCTTTAAATAAAACGCCATAATAGTGTAAATAAATTTGCCACATTTTAACGCGATCGGTAAAAGGGTTATGAAGTTATTAATTAAATTAGTTTTATTTTTGACAACTTTGAAGGCCTGTAACTCAAAAACCAAAATTTTTTATTTAACTTTTTTTTCGTAAATCATATTTATTTAGTCGTGAATATGCAGTTAAACGTTGTCGGTGAAATTTGCCGACACCCTGTATAACTTTTATATAAATTGTCGGATTGATATTTCTAACAATTGCAGAATAGCCCGGTCAAAATAGGCATTTCAAATAACGAAAATTCCGACAGAGCTAAATTTTGGTGGAGACCTTGGGTACACCATTAGAAATAAAGTGTCAAAAGTCCCCATCGATCCCATGTGTGCTAAAATAGTTATTCGGGGTCAAAGGTCAAAATTTGAGGTTATTTCAATTTTTTTTCAGAAACGGTTAGTTTTATCAAAAAAGTAGCCCAGACAAATATTATAGATCTTAAAATTATCTACAAAAATGGTCCTTATACTTTTTTTTTTTAAGAATCACCATTCCTGAAATATCACGATTCTAATAGTTGAAGGAGTCACGTTCTACATGATATGCACACATTTCCACACCACCTGTGAGGTGGTGTACTTTGACGCTTTTCTTAACGTGGTTTTCCCGGTAAGCCTACTCCACAAACTGTTATGACGGAATTTTCAGGGACAATACTCTTTTAACTGTATGATGATTATTGATATTGATATTGGTTATTGACTTTTAAGATGAACCAGCTGTCTCTTCATCGAAATCACATGAATCTTCGTCTGTTGTATTCAATTGGACATTTGAGCAAGACTGGCTTTGGTAATTAGTACACACTGGAGAACACAGTAACCTTGCTCTTCTACAGCCACATTTAGCACTACAACCTTTTTTGCAATTGCAAAAAATAGTGTTTAGAAGTTTTTCCAGAGCAGATGGAAGTAAAGTTTGAATCGGTTCCAAAGTATTATCGGTTAATTTCCAACCCCAGTCTTCTGGGTTCAGTTGATTGCCTAGCCATGTCTGAACTTGTTAGTATACTCGATACAAGTGTTGATTAGCAGAAGCCAATGTTGGAGGAAGACAAGATAGTTGTACTTGTTTCTTGTTTCGTGTATTTTTTACAGAAGTTAAATATCTATATTTATCTATACAATAAATTTTTTTTGGAGCTCTAACAGCAAGGGGAAAGCGAATTCCTTTTGTGATTAATGTTTGAGGTGAAGAATCAATATCTGCAATCAATCAAATCTTTTTTCTAGATAATTTTAATACTGATGTTTTACCCCTTCTGAACATTGCTGATGTAGTATTGCAGCCGGTTATCGCATTTAAAAATAAGATATAGTTTTGGCATTTTGGATAAGCAGATAAACTTTTTGAAGAATATATTTCTGTTCGCTGTTGAGCCTTTCCAGGTTTTAAAAAGTATATAATTTTATCAATAGTAGTATTAACAAGTCAACATCTTCACCAACTACAATTGACTGAGTTTCTTTTGAGTGTATATTCTCAGAATAGTATAGTTTATACATACAAGAGATGCAAATAGGCATTTTTACTTGCATTAAGTACCTGACTATGTATGTACGTGGCATATATGTGCATATCATGTAGAACGTGACTCCTTCAACTTTTAGAATCGCGATATCTCAGGAATGGTGGTTTTTAGAAAAAAAGGACAATTTTTGCAGATAATTTTCAGATTTATAATTGTACATTTTGTTGGCGATAATGTGCGTTTTGCAATACAAACCGCAATTTTACAGGGTGAATAGAATAGCGTACTCAAGGTTTCAAACAAAATTAACTACTACCAACTTTGCAACCAACTTGCAGTCAATTAAAACAAATAGAAAATGATTATAATGTTTTAATAAGTTGAGATTTTGTTTTAATACCAATTCAAGTATCACTATAAAAACGAACTGAAGTAAAAGAAAAACAAATAAGTTATCCTCACTATTTATATTTTCATGAATAAATTCATGAAGTTATTCAATAACAGATTTTGTATATTATACTTGTCCAAAGGTTTTATGAAATAATTCATGAACAAATTTGCAATGTGAAACAACTGTAAGACTAGGTTAAAGAGCTCTGTTGATAGAGGATCCCCTTGTCTTAGTCCCTTACTTATTTCAAATTCTTCAGATTTGTATCCATCCTCACTTTCATTTTTTGGAACTTTGCTGGAATTCCAAGATAATCCAACGCCTGAAACATTTTTTGCTTGCCTATCCTATCCTAGGTTTGCTTGAAATCTATGGACAAAGCTTGTACTCATAAGTTGATAATCCTGCTGGGTAATAATTTATAATAGGCATCTAACAGGGCAATACCTCTATAATTCTTACGTAGCAGGTTATTTCCTTAAGTATTGTTCTTACCTTGTGTTTAGAATGATATACAATATCTTTTGATCTTCCACCTGATTTTTATTCCTGCCACAATTTTGCTTTCTCATGACTTTTGATTGAAATTCTTATATTTGTTAACATTTATAATTTTATTTAAACACAACCTGCAAAATAAAATATTTTAATTGTAATTTAACTAAGAATTCCATCCTTTAAAAAAATATAAATTTCTTGAAGAAATTCAATATATTTTAACTTTTGTGAAGTACTGTGGTTCATTTAAAAAATTTTAAAATTCATATACCTACATATCCTAATAAAAAATTAAGCATCTGATCTGTATTAATCGATTATTATTTTTAGCGATATACAACTTCAATTTTCCTGAAGAATACAAATTGAAACTAACTGTTGGAGATGCAGTTCACATTTTGGATGAAGAAACTGAATGGTACTATGGTTACCTTCTCAGTAACAGACATGTTAAGGGTATATTTCCCAAAAACTACATTCACATAAAACGATGCGAAAGGGTTGAGGATACCAGGCCAGTCTTGAAGGAACCCCCAATCACTCAAGAAATCACATCTGTTCTCAGGGAATGGGGTGTACACTGGAAAAATTTATATGTCGTGAGTTTTATTATTTTTAGTAACGGAAATTATTTTTACATTGCAAATGTGACTGTAGGTACGGGGTATCCCAATATTCTGTGTACATGTACAGATTTTTGGGGGTCAAAACAAAATGATTTAAATAAACTTACCTCTGTCCAAAGTTGGCAAAAAAATTAAATTTTTTCTAGATAACCCTAAAAAGTCTAATGAAAACAAAATTTGGTATGCTAGTACTTGCGCATAAATGCAAATTTTTTATAATATAATAACCGAAATAATTGTTTTTACAAAAATTGGAAAAATACCCCCCCAATTGTAAATGGTCATATACTTATTCTAGTTAAAAAAAAATCACATTTATTTAATATTTTCGTCATTTTGCAAATTATGAATAGTAATTTTTTGGAAATTGTAAAGAAAAAAAAATGTATCGCATTTGTATCAGATGCCTCATTCTGAAATTTATGAACAGTTTCTTATCAAATTCATCTAATTTAATGTTCCTCAAATAAGCATATTCACACAAGATTCAAATTTGATAGTCACAATACAGAATGGTAAATGCCTGACAAGTTAATATATTTTTTTTTGCTAAATTATGTGTGTTACCTATAAAAAATGTTGGTCAGAATCAAGTTCACATAGAGAATTATTTTTTTAATGAAAAACCTGCAAATGAAATTTGCAAAATAAAAAATTCAAATGAAATTTTTCCTAATATTTGTTAAACTTTCTATTAATAAGTAAAAACAGTTTATTAATTTTAACATTTATGTGTCTCCAATTAGCCTTTTTGTTTCGTATTAAAACTTGATGAATTGAAAACAAGATTCAATTATAATTTAAGGAAAATGTTTATTGAAACTGGTTTGGTAAGAAGTACATTTTTAATTTTTTAGACCCACAACAAGCATTTCGAACAAATGAAAAATCAAATTTATGATCTAATGACACATCGAAGTAAAATAATTAGCGGCACATTGCCCGTGGATGAACTGAAAAGAGTTACAAAACAATCAGCCGAAGAAATCGATATCGGAAACAAGATATTAGGTTTAGATTTAGTAGTTAGGGACAAAAATGGTAACTTAATTAATCCCGATGATACTAGCACCATACAACTCTTTTATCATCACAAAAATGCAACTGAACGTATGAGTAATAGGGAGAAGGTAATAGTTCATCATCTTATGGGTTACATTGCTTTATACAACGAATTTTTAGCCTGAAATCAAAGAAGTACAACCAAAAACTGCCATCCAGCAGTACTCTAACATATTTTTATTAGCTGTAAGAAATTTCACATGTAAAATGTCGGAAGATGCAGAGCTACTCATGACATTGTATGATGGTAAAGAATTTAAAGCCATCACGGAAAGTTATGTGGTACGGTGGACCAAAGAGGGATTAATGAGTGATCTGGACCAAATGTACAATTTAAGGGTTATGTTCACAGTAAGTACCTATGAAGTATAGACGCTTTTAAGATATTTATACAGGGTGAATTTTAAATATGTACATATATTTTAAACAACAATACAGTTTACGTTCTAGAACTTGTGTTTTCCAAAAAAAAACGGGAGTAAAAAATTTTATTTGAAATAAATATGCAGCACTTCTTAACTGATTATATTGTGGGGCACAACTACTCAGACTGTAGCTCTATTCAGCATTTAATTACATCTTTAATATCTAGTAAATAGCTAAGATCATCTAGTACCTAGCAGTGACAATTAAGATATGACATACCTTGTAAATGACTTTCATTGAATTCATAAATGCACACATTTAAGATTAACTCTGTATGTTATCTTCTATAATCATAAAATCCTTGGATAAATTCAAACAACGAGGATTTCTTTTATTATTTGTTTGTAAACCAAAATGCAAAAAACATTGCTTCTCAGAATGTTTCAATGATTATAATTTGTTTACCAATGTTCGAAAAGAATTAAAGTGACATTGAAATACTTTGTTACTTTTTAGGACTTGGGCAAAAAAGATTTGGAAAGGGAAAAGATATTCCTAGTTTGTTACGTTGTACGAGTTGGAGCAATGGATACCAAAGAAGTAGATCACAGAAGAAGTTCAGTTAGTGTTTTCAATAAAAAAGGTTCAAATGAGAACATGCGCAGGCCATGTGGGGTGGCTGCATTCGATATCACTAATTATATGAACGGAAAACTTGACACGGATCTCGAAGAAGAATTTGCTGTACCTTTTGTTGGGTAAATGAAATGTTGGGTTGCACGGAAATGACAGTAATTTACTTTTTTGTATTTTTATAGTTGTGATAAGGACAACTTGGAACAAACCTTAAAGAAAATCATCACTAAAGAAAGACTTGAAAACAAGAATCAGGCATTATTTGTTAGTATGAAACTACTTAGAGGTGACTTGAAACAGGTAAAATAACTGTAATTATTCCACTGTTCACTGATTTATGGATATATTTAGGTGAGAGAGGAAAATCCGCACTTAGTTCTCGGCAATGTATCAGTTGCCAGGAAGATGGGTTTTCCAGAAGTAATTTTGCCTGGTGACGTTAGGAATGATCTATATTTAACACTCATAGGTGGAGAGTTTAGTAAAGGAAGTAAAAAAAGTGAGAAAAATGTTGAAGTTACTGTTAAAGTTTGTAACGATAAGGGGCAAGCTATTCCTGTAAGTATAATTTATTTTTGCTTAATGTTTTTTAATTATTTGTTTATTGCATTCAAAGTACAAATTAATTATTAACTATCCTGTTTCAATTACAATGTCTTTATTAGTTGTTCGTTAGATTATATATGATTGAAAAAAAGTGTGAGAAAAATGTTTTAATTCTCCACAATATATAATTTAATGATACAGAACCTTAATAAGTGATTATAAGCCATGTGACTGCCAAGTTTAGGCAACCAACATTGCATGATTGGTCCTGTCAATTAAAAATATCTAAACTGCACTCGAGATAATGCGTTTGCTGATTGGTTGAATAAAATGTGAAAAATTGCACCGATCACCAGCCTATGAAAGAGAATGTTGTGTTTTATGGTAATTTTGATTTTATTGTTTTAATAATTTTTTATTTTACCAAAATTTAATTGCCGACACAAAGGAAATAAAATTACTGTTCCAAACAAAATTACTGCTCATGTGGATTGTAATCATTGATGAAAACTATGTATGCACCCCATGTCATTTAGTGGACAAAACTTCCGAGTAATGTCACTCCAGAAAAATACCATAACAAAATGTCATTACTTTGTAACAACATCGTTGAAACAGCCTGAACTGTTAAGGCTGTACTTATAGTCGATACTTCGGCTGAACTTAGACAACTTAAACACACAAGTGCATATTATAGTCCGTACTTCATCAGTGAGCACAACTCCATACGATCTTGGCAGCACGCCATACTCAAGTTCTGTAGAGATTGACCTTGAGGCGTGCTCGGTTAGGTTCAAATTAGAAAGGAGGAGGGCCCTTAAGGCCGATTCTTGGCTAATTTATTTTTGGCTGAAAAAATCTGAAAAAAGTTTTAGTACCTACTAGCAATACTGAATCATTTCCATCCTAAACGTACCAACCCCCTCACCCGCTTTTCCCCCTCCGCCCCCTTAAATGCCGGGGAAACCATCACTTATTAGAGGAATATGAAGAGTTTTTTGGGTCGCTTATCACGAATCTGGTCTCAGAATCTCGAAATTCAAGATGGCGGATCCAATATGGCAGACAAAAAATTAAAATGTTTTCAAAATGCACAAATTGTCTCGAGGGGTTTTTTGGGTCGCTAATTACGATTCTGAAGTCAATATACACATACACATTGATGTAATTGTTATCTATTTCTTTTTTACTTTTCCACCACACAAAAATGCATGCATTTTAAAGACATTTTAATTTTTTTGTCTGCCATTTTGAATTTTGTTATTTAGTGTCCAGATTCGTAATCATAGACCCAAAAAACCCCATTACAAAAAAATTCATACATTTTGAAGACATTTCAAATTTTTTTGTCCGCCATATTGAATCCGCCATTTTGAATTTTGTGATTCTAAGACCAGATTCATGATCAGCGACCCAAAAAACTCTTTATATATAAGAATCATAGGAATTGAATGTCTTTCGCATCTCTCTCTTTAAAGATTCCTCTAATAAGCGATGATTTCCCCGGAATTTAAGGGGGCGGTGGGAAGGAGGGTGAGGGGGTTGGTCCGTTTAGGGTGGAAAGGATTCAGTATTGCTAGTAGGTACTAAAAATTTTTCAGATTTTTTCAGCCAAAAATAAATTAGGCCAAAAACCGGCCTTAGGGGCCCTCCTCCTTTGATGTTATTTTTTAAAATTGCAAAAGCAATTTACATTTTTTTGTGTTTATTGGTTTTGTGGTAAACAAAAATGTTGAAAGAATGCCAAAAGGGTATATCCGCGATGCTGAAAATCCGATCAAATTTATAGTGATAGTGAGTTAGGAAACAGATACAGATTTTTAAAAAAAAAATTATACTAAACACTATTTTTCAGTAACAATTTTATCTGGTGACATTTTTTGGAAACCTCTTGGTTTTTCAGAGACTATAATTGTTTAAAATGTAATATTTTTGTTTGTTGCATTGGAACATAAGTCGAAACTTTTGAGTTAATAGTAAGTAAAAAGTGTAACAGAAATGACTTGACTAGCAAAAAATTTTAAGAATAAGAATTTTCATTTTTAATCATTCCATTAATCATTCCATAGATGAATTCATACGTATTTTAAAGGATACATAACACCGGACAAAAATGTGTTTTTAAAGAAATTTAAACAAAAGTTTTTGCTTTGATGAGTTAAATCTGTAATTAAAATTTTGTCACCTGTATAAGTAGTGTAGCTTATAAAACCAATACTATTATCACAGAGGTGCATGATTTAACTGATTATGACTGATGTGTGTTGAAATATAATAGCAGTAATTTTAATTTTAGGGTGTTATAAGCTTGGGTGGGGGTGTGCAACCTATAGATGAATATAGATCTGTTATTTATTATCACCTGGATAGGCCCCAGTGGTACGAAACATTCAAAGTTGCAATACCAATAGAAGAGTTCAAAACTAGTCATTTGAAATTTACCTTTAAACATAGGTCTTCCAATGAAGCAAAAGATAAGAGTGAAAAACCCTTTGGTATGTCCTACGTTAAATTAATGCAAGAAAACGGCACGACACTGCCAGATGCTAGGCACAGCCTTATAGTCTATAAAATCGATTACAAAAAATTCGACGAGAGTAGTTTAGATTACTTTAAATTGCCTTCCACTACACATGAAATTAAAGAGTATCCTAAAGAGAAACTTCAAGTACCTGGTTTGAGCGTTTCTACAAAGGACTCCTTCAGTATCTCTAGTAACATTTGTTCAACAAAATTGACACAAAACGGTAAGTAAAAAATATTAGAATTTAGCACAAAGTTGTTGGTTATTATAAAGACTGTATTGCAAAATGAGTAATACATGTTTATTATTTTTGAAAGTTTTACAATCGTTTTGTGTAACACTGTTAAACCAACAAATCAAAATGCGACGTGTTAAATCTGTATTAAGGCGGCTACACATACTCTGTTGAAACTGTGCGATTGGACTGTACAGTTAAATCGCATTTCCGTTTGCCATACACACTTTAGATAAATTTGTTCAGTTTCTTCAGTTTTTCTCATCATAGCATCGATGAATGACGCTTTAGCGTTGCTTGGATTGTTTATTTTCTTGACTACTGCTTCTTTATTAGCCTGTGGCTCTTATTTCTTTTAATTTTTCAATGAATTTTACGTAGGCTGCTTCCTTTTTAGTGTGATTGTCGTAGTCTTTAGATTTTACATGCCAAAAGCAGGCTTTGCAGCTATATATTTCTAGGATTTCTTCCAACCATTCCCGTTGAGTGCAGATTGCGACATTGTTTATGTTTGAGTAAAACATGCGTACGCATCCAATACAAAGTCGAGACTATGTTGAGACTGACGAAACTGTACAGTTATACCATACACACTCGTAATTTTAACTGCGCAGTTTGCACCAATACAGTTAAATCTAATCATATTTTGAATTGATTTCAGTTCAACTGTACAGTGCTGAAACTGCAGTTTTTGTCAAACGTTCCGTTGTAACTGTACAATTTAATCGTACAGATTTAACTGAGCGTGTGTAGCTTATATTACATATTTTGTAGTCAAATTTTTAGGGATTTCAACTTAAAATGCCTAAAATTCATTAATGACATAACCTTACCACTTTGACAAAAAATCTATATATTTTGTTTTTTTATGTTATTTTATTGACGTTTCAACCCATAACTGTTATTTTATAGTGGACCTTCTTGGTCTATTGAACTGGGCTTCCCACAAAGAGACTTTAACAGATTCCCTGAGAGCTTTAATGAAAGTAGATGGAGAAGAGGTAGTAAAATTTTTGCAAGATATCCTCGATGCCTTATTTAATATCCTCATGGATAACCCAAAGACTGATATGTATGATACTCTAGTTTTTGAATGCCTACTGCATATCATAAGTTTAGTTAGCAACGACTGGAAATATCAACATTTCGAACCCGTTTTGGATTTGTATATAAAGGAGAGTTTCAGTGCAACGCTGGCATATGAGTAAGTTAATGTTCGATTATGTTTTTTAAGATCAGTCACAAAAAAATCCCTTTCTTTTTAGGAAATTGATATCAGTATTAAAAGCGGTCGTTAGTCGTGCTGGAGATATAAGTAGCCACGGCAAAGGAGATTTGGTGTTCAAAACGATGAAGGCTCTTCAATATGTTATGCGATTTGTGTCCAGGTCGAGGATTTTATACATGGAACTTTATCCTGATATCGATCCCGATGATGAATTTGTTGAGAGTTTAAGAGATTTATTGCAGAGTATTATTTTTATGATGTCTTCCAATAAAGATGGCTTGCTGAGGGAGCAAGGAGCGTGCCTCAAATATTTACCTAGTACCATACCTGACATCCTTTTGGTTTTTGACCATAGAGAGTTAAGGTTAGTTTTTTATCAACATATCTTGAAAATTGAAGAATGAGTATATTTGGAATGACATTTTTAATTTAAAAATTTTTTACGGGTGTTCATCATAGAGCATTGAGAAAAATTCTTGTATTTTTAGTGTAATATTGTGTGATATGTTGAACAATATTCCTCTGGGCAGACTGACAAAGCAGAAAATGATGACGATCAACGAGATCGTTCATAGTAAATTATTTTTATATCCCGAGTGTAGGAAAATATTACTACCAATTATTTCACAGCAAGTAAAATCTTTGTTTGAGGCGAAAGAAGAGGTAAGTATTTGTTGCTTTTAGAATCGCTTTCGAGCTTATTCTTATATGTGCTATTATCTATATTTATATTTTTGTTTGTATTGGTCCCAAAAACCTACTGTTGCTATTTGTACATAATTTCACTATAAATGAGATTGAATAATTTGTCACACTTTTTTATATTCATGGCAGTTTGCACATTTTATTTTCATTAATAAACATTTGTGTGTAAATAATACACTATTTTCCATTTGCAAGCATTTTTTTTTATTGTAAATAATTATTGAATGTGCTGCATTGTTTGAGTTGTTTTCTGTTTTCAAATTTTGTGGTAATATTTGTTTTCTACATTAGTGATTTTTCTATAGACTTAGACAAGGTTTTCATTAAAAAAAAAGACTATTAATTTGAATTGATTTTTGAATACAACTAAATATAATATACATGAATTTTTCTTCAAGTAGCCATTTTTAATTTAATATTAAATGGCCCAGTTTTCAAGATATTGAGTGTGAAAGTTTTTTTAAAATATCAAATATCTAATATTGGAAGATATTAAAAACACAAAAATTAATTACACTGGTGACTTAAGTAAAGTAGAAAATTCCCTGAATTTGTATACACTTCTATCAATCGGTGTCAAAGACAGCGAGATATTTAGTGACTGAGAATCACAAAATATTGACGTCACTATATTTTGGAAATTCGTTCAGTGCATATTCAGGTTATTATTATTTTTTAATCTAAAATAAAATTTCCTTGCAAATAAATAATGCGATTCCAGAGGACAAAAATAATTCATAATGCATGGTTCTTTGTGTTATAAATAAAAGGAAGTGTCAAAACTGTCAGAAACGCAGAAGTAATCATTATTTTTGAACATAACTAATATTCGTACTACTGATTAAAAATTAAATCGCTAAAAATCTTCAAAAATGGCCAATAAATTAAAACCGATTCTATGGTCTCCAACAATTTTTGCACTTCTGTATTTATATAAAATTGTGAATTTATTGATCAGTTTATTGGGTTAAAAATTGGTAAAACGAGTTTATATAAATAACTAGCTTTTACCAGCGGCTTCGCTCGCATTGAAGCCATTAAATAAGTATCGGAGATCAAAGGTAAAATCACGAATTAACTACAAAAATGACACCTAACCTGAAACAATAAATATAGAAAATCTTTCGAAAAAAATATATTTTTTTTTAATAAAAAGTATCCTATGTTACTTCTAATACCTCCAAGAACATGTGTACAAAGTTTGATGATGATCGGTTAAGTAGTTTTCGCGTGAAAGCGTAACAAACAAACTTACATCCACATTTATAATATTAGTAGGAATTGGCATAAAATTTTAAATTCTTCGAGACAGCAGGAGACATTTCTGTGCCACTGATTTATTGGAACTTTTAATACATACACTGTATTTAAAATTATGTTTATAACAAATAACTCCTTTCTTTTTTGTCATACGAACATCTGCTTATAGTCCAACCAAATTACACTTGGAGAAAAAAAAAATTGTTACCTGGACTTTTGTAAGTGGAAATGGTAAAAGGGTTTATAATAAACAAAAAATAAAGAAATGCGTAAGCAGGGGTGGCGGAGTGTTGAAATGTTGTGAAAAATTGTATCATTGGGATTTCTGGCAAAAGTTGACGTCAAACAAAAAAGTATCCTATACAAAAGTTATAGACCATGCAAAAATTTACTTTTGTAAAGGTCACTTTTTAATAATTTTTAACCTCAAGATTTCCGAGAAAAATGCAAAAAACATTTTTTTTTTATTTTTCGTTTATTATTTCTCGTTTCCACAAAAATAATTGAATTTTGACGAAACTTGGCGAAAATATACCTTTCTGTGTCTTACATAACAAATTTTTTTAGATAAAAAAATCAAGTAGTTTCCGAGATATTCATTTTTTCCAGTCTGAAACACTTTTTTTCAAAGAAAAATTTTACTTAGAAAAATCATCGTACAGAGTTCTGCCAGTAATAATTTTTTTCGTTTTGACATATACTGTTTGGTGAAATAAAAAAAATATCTGTAATCACAGTTCAAAAACATGCTCAAAAATGCAAAAAAAAAAATAAAAAATGACGGCAATGAATTTTTCAGTAATTGTTGATAATTTGTTTAAATTTTTAAAAAATCCAAAAACTGATTACACCATTCAATTGTACGGAAAAAATACAAAAAAAAATTGATCCAAAACTTTATTTTTGTACAGTATTGTTGTATTAGATGATATTACTATTGTAATCACTTAAAAAGGTTTTTAGCTATCATTTAAAATTTTTCCTGAGTACAGCTCTGAACGCTTTCAAAATATTTTTTAATCGATAATTTTAAAAAGTTTTACCTAATAAAAAAATAATACGAATTTCTGAAATGTTTTATTATTTCTAATTAGTATTGCTAATGGTAGTTAAAAAAATTGTTGGATTTTTTGTGCGGTATTGACTTTTATATTGTTATGAGAGCCGTACTCAGGAAATATTTAAACGTATTTAAAGAAATTAACCTGATGGCCCCTCAAAGACGAAACGTCGGATTGCAAAAATTTTGACGCCATTGTATAGAGTGAAAAAAGTGGCGTTGTAATTATTATGCAATTTATTGTAAAATTCGTTTTCAAATAAAGCCACAAAAAAAATTAAACAATTTTGCAAAATTTCGGGATTTTTTGGATACCTATCTCCGGATCTACCTGGAATTTTAAAACTTTCTAAACGGCATATTGTTAGGTACAAAAAACTCAACTTTTTTTTCTAATTTGAGCCATCCCGTATCTCTTACGTTTTCTAGATCCTAATGCTATCCCATCCTTATCTTGGACACACTGTATATTTATCAATTCATCAAAATTTAAAAATTAATCGATCCTACGCAAAAAAATTACTATTTATTTTATTTATTCACTATTCGACTTATGTTTATAGCAATACTGTACAAAAATAAAGTTTTGGGTCACACAATTGAATGGTGTAATCAGTTTTTAATTTTTTTTTAAATTTAAACAAATTCAACAATTACTGAAAAATTCAGTTGTCATTTTTTATTTTTTTTTTGCATTTTTGAGCATGTTTTTGAACTGTGATTACAGATTTTTTTATTTCACCAAAAAGAATATGTCAAAACGAAAAAACTGATCACCGTCTGAACTCTGTACAATGATTTTTCTAAATAGAATTTTTCTTTGAAAAAAAAAGTGTTGGAAAAAATGAATATTTCGGAAACTTCTTGATTTTTTTATCTAACAAAATGTTTGGTTATTTAAGACATAGAAAGGTTATACTTCCATCAAATTTCCTCAAAATTAAATTATTTTAGCGCAAATGAGAAATAAAAATTAGAAACAAACCTGTTTTTCGCATTTTTCTCAGAAATTTTGAGGTTATCTTAAAAAGTGACCTCTACAAAAGTTGTAGATTTTTGCATGATCTACAACTTTTGTATTGGATACTTTTTTGTTTGACGTCAACTTGCGCCAGGAATTCCAATGATACAATTTTTTAAAACTTTTCAACCCACCCATATCCACCCTCTGCTCACGCATTTATTTATTTTTTGTTTATTATAAGCCCGTTTACAATTTCCACTTATAACAGTCCAGGTAACATTTTTCTTTTTTTTCCCTCTAAATGAGTTATTTCGATCGGTCTATTATTCAAAGTGATGTAAATTTATTCTACCCTAAAACAACTTGAAAATGACATGCCAAATAAAATTAGGAATCAAATGTACTCATCGAATTTCCAAATCACTCAGTGACATTGAATTTCTGGGTTTTCTGGTAACAGTGTCTCAATATCTCCGCCACTGGTTACAATATTTATATAAAAATTCAGTGAATTGTTACCTTTACGTAGTTGTTGCCGTTACAAGTTTTATTAATCTACGTTAAATATCTTCTATATACAAAACTTAGAACATTTGTTTATTGGAATTTTTTTGTAAAAATAATATACAGATTCTTTTATTATCAACAAAAAAATCGTCCCGAAAAACACATATTGTCGTAATGCCTTCAAAATGCAAAATGTGCATATATTCAGCAAAACATGTTAAGTTCTGCACATTCGATAAATGTCATCAAACTGCATAATCTGGTTAAAACCAGCCATCTTATTTTCTACTGATTGTGACAGCGGTAAAATTTAAAATAATTGTTGAAATTCTTAATTAAAATAGGCCAAGAAACACTTTTTTAAATCCACTGAACAATTTGATAAAATTCACATTGCATTTTGAAGGCGCAACGACGATATACTGAAAACTTTGGGTCTTAAAAGAAAGAAAATAATTTAAATTACAAGTTTTATTTTGTGATACTTAACAGACTTGCAATTTTAATGTTTGAACATTTTTATGAATATATTATAAAATATGTTTAATTATATTACCTTTTCTAAGTTTTTACTGTTAAACATTTGTGTATCATACTTGCATGCTAGTGTTATTTAAAAATTGTATATAGTATAATGTGTGCCATTTTACTTGTAAATATATAGCATCGAGTTTGAAAACAGAAAATAAAAATTTTATTCTTCTGCACCAGAGACACCTTGGCCACCGAATGGTTCAACAATCAGTTTAAGTACTCCTTTTCTTATGTAAGACCTTCTTCTATAGTACTGTCTTTTGATATACTTTTAAAATCATTTCTGCAAAACAGCTAAAACTACTGCTTCCATTAATGTTATTTTTTGTTTTTGTCAATATCGTTATTTAACTGGGTATATGTGCTTTCATTTGATAAATGTTATTTTTTTTTTAGTAATGATTTGCTATTCAAAATTTAAATCAATTCAGTTGGAACAAATGTGTCAGTATCTACAATATTATTTTTTCAGATCCTTCATATTTTATTAGTAGATTTCTGACTTACAATGTTAAATATAAAATTATTTTCAAATTTTTACACAAAAACGTTCATTATGTGTAAGTAGTTTAATTTGCTGAACGATTTTAAAAGTACAGTTGCTTCTCTTTATCAGTCACCATTTGGTTTAAATTTTTATGCAAATATTCAAATCGTATCAAATATAATTGGGAAAAAATTAATACTTGACATTTTTACATATAACATTTGGAGAAATTCTTTTTTCTTTTTTTGATAATTTTTTAATTTGAGCTGGTGATTTGATGGATGAGAGAGGGCAACTAAAATATATTTGTGTTCTTTTTAATACCTACATTTATTTAATTTCTGAGTTGCTTAGCATGTGAAAAAATAATGCATGCTAGTAAATTTCTTTGAAAACTGGTAGGTACTCAATGCTAAAATCAATTACATATAACAATCAACAGTTATAAAAGTAAATACGGTACATACAGTAAGGTGCAGTGTTTTCCAATATATTTGTAGCATAGAACTCGATCAGAACTACTGAAAATGCTAGTGAAAAAAACAAATAGACCTTTTTCACTAATCTCAAGTTCGTTTTTAATAAGAAATGAACTAATTACACACTATTAGAGGAATATTAAATGATATTTATTTCGCACGTCATATTTTCTGGTTTAACATTAAAGCAACATAGTTTTTTTTTGACATATTTCAATGTTTCATTAGAGAGAACTAATCGAATAAAAGGGGTCCTTGTCGTTGTTGCCAAGTTGTCAAAGTTACATTAACAAAGAGAATTATCAACATTTCATGGTATTGTATGTCTTGTGAAGACAAAATTTAGTTTTGTATTAAGATTATTTTTACTTTTTTTTGACAATGTTCTTTAACTGCATGAAAAACAGTGTAGGTGGAGGTTTATTTTTGATATGGAGAAAAGTGAGGAAAAGATAATGTTCAGTGCCACACTGAAACAATTACAAGTAATAATAATATCAAAGTGGCATGTCCCCCTTCACAACTGCAAACACACAACCACTTGTGTGGTGGAAGTTGCAACGTGAAGCTGTGTAAATAAAGGGCGAGTATCCATCCGCATATTTAATTTGATATATGCTTTAAATAAATTCAACAAAAAATTTTGATTTGAGGGTAATTCTAATGCACTAACAGCATCTACAGAGCTGCAGATTCGTGAGGTGTTACAATGTGAAATGCAGTAATAAAGCAATGTGATATATTTTTCTCAATGAATAAAATAGCTCTTTGACAAAAACTGTGCAATATCTTGGTTGTGTAACTTTGTGTATCGCTAACCTCACAAAACAACGTTGATTGAGGGTATTTGCATCACACAATGGGCAATTTTTAAACTTTTTTAAATGTCTGGAAATAATCTATAACCTTATATAATTATGTAGTGAAACTATTGGAATTCTCTTAGAGATTGTTAATTAATAATTAATTATTAAAGGTTTTCATGCAAAATGATTGTTTTAAACTGACGTTGGCAGATGAATGACAGGGACAGGGCAGTCCGACAGTATGAGCTTAGTAACACAGTCTAAAGACAGTCAAATTCACTTTGCTTCGAGGGTCTGTCTTGTCGGCATGGAAATTGAAGATTAGACGGCAAGCGACTGATAATGAAATCACCAAAATGACACCACAACATGTTCTTGATTACATGACAAAATTTAAATTTTTACAATAATTTTATACATCTGTTGTTAATTTGTAGCATTAAAGAAATGTATGTTTTTTACCGCTGTTGTCGGTTATATACAACGAATTTATGCGGTTTAGAAATTAAACTTTTACACAAGTTGCCTATTGGCTTGTCAAATTTGATATTGTTTTGTACTTCGTTGAATACTTCAGCCTTAGAAATGTTTTGACAATCTTGAAACCTATTTTCCCGGTGTTTATTATGATATAGAAAAAAGATACATGTGTACACTATATACAGGGTCGGAAAGTCCCCATGGTTCATCTGCCGTTACGTGAGAGCAATAAAGTTCCTCCGTTAACAGATGGCAGCCCTAGAAAGAGTGATACCAGATCTACAGATTTTTTTGGAATTGGGGAAATAGGGAATTTTGCTTTATTTCTTGGGATTTTTAAGTCATTTTAAAAAGTATACTTAAATAACAACTAAATGAACTTTAAATGCAACTGAGCACTATACTCCATTTGAATAACTTCTCAGTAGGGGAAACGAGGTCACTAGATTTACAATCAGAGGTATCTACTAGCTACTGTAAAAAGTTTTCTTTGTTACGCGTTGTGCTGCCCTCTGTTAACAGATGGTATTAACATATCGGAATACCGAAGTCGAAATTATATAAGTAGTGACATCTATTAAAGAAAAGCCAAACGACGAAAACAAAGATGACCACTGGTTGCTGAATTACAAGTGGAAGTGGATTTTATTTGTCGAAGGGCGAAACGGGCGGTGACTATGAGACGCCTTCATTATAGCCATCCTTCTCTATCGCACGGATTTCTATGACTTACTTTATCGCTCTCACATAACGGCCGATGTACCATAGGGACTTTCCGAACCTGTATATAGTCAATTTAGGACAATTGAAATTTGTAAAAGTAAGCCATTAAATGAAAGAAAGAAAAAAAATTATATTTAACCATCGCGTGGCAAGTCTATTTAAATGGTTTCTTTGTATCTATTAGTTGATTGTGAAACAGAATATTTTGAAAATATATGTAAATCTCAGGGTTGGCCACCCTATTTTAATCCACAAATTTTTTCGTCACAAGAGTTCTTTATATGGGTCTACAGATCATCACCTAAATAACAGTATGGATCGCTGCACGTCATTAATCAAAATAGCTGTCACTTACCTGAATCACCCTATTTATAAAAAAATTAAATTAATTAATAGTAATCTAATATATTGTTTTTAAATATAGAGTACAAATCAGGGTGGATCATTTCAGCCAGTGAATATTAATTTGAGAAATTTTTTTATTGAAATTAAATTTTATATTTTTCATTTTTTAACTGAATTGTAATTTTAATAATTGATCAACATTCAGGGTAAGTAATATTGGAAATTATTTAAATTTACTTGATCGGAAAGGTAGATATTTTGGAAAACAAAATATTCTGCATGATGACTAACTTGTAAGTTGATGAAACCATGGCCTATAAAATATATTGAAAACGTTCTGAGGTGAGTTAAGAATATAATGATTTTTTTCAAAATACTTTCACATATAAAAATCAATGTATTCTTAATTTGTTCATAAGTATTGATTTAACTATCCTGTAGATGTTTCGTGGTGCATGTTGTTATTAATGTAGTTAATTCAATTATTACGATTGCATATGTGCCTGTAGTTTTGGGATTTATTTATTTGATAACTTTTACAAATTTTACATATTCTAATATTAATATTTAATTTTAATTCCATTAACATATTGTTTTTAACAATATTTTACAATTTGGGTAGTTGTTTTTTTGAATACTCTTGGTAGTTTAGTGGTGCAATGGGTATTATAGGGTCTTCTATTGAGACAAGATGGGAGGAGACAGAATAGATCGGTGGCCAAGGTTGCTCAGCTTCTGGGAACGACACAACATTGCGTCAATCAACATGTGGGATATCCGGAAGAGGTGAACACATTATACACAATATACTGCACAGAGGATACTTATAGTATATAGCTTTTGAGTCATATTTGACACATTAACAAAAATTGGTTGCAAATGGTAATACCTAGAGGGTATAAAATTGTCAATGCTACATTACATTTTTTGTCAGGTTAACAATAATTTGCATGATTAACTCTATACTAAACCATTGTGACAGTTTAAAAAAAGAATTGCTTATAATTATTTATTTGTGGTATATTTTATATATATTTTTTTTATTTTGGTAACATAATTAATAAAGGAGATATATACAGAGAGATACAGAATGACTGAATGTGCTACTGGTTTATACATATTTTAACATTATTTTTTTAGTAATCGTTTTGTGTTTAAAATTATACTTATGCGAAAAGGTCAATTTTTCACAATGTTGTATGCAAATAGAACTACAAACTTCGAATGTACAAATGTACCTTAATTATAATAACTCCTTACACTAAAAGGATGTTAGGTTGATTTTATAAATTGGATTGTCGATTTAAGATTTATCTATTTTCACAAGTTTATGTACAATTTTATTTATAAATTATTTATTTTTTTTTTAATTTTATGGCTAAAAATCCAATTAAACAAGGAACTACAAGAAATAAACAATTACAGAAAAATGGGTAATAGAAAATGGGACAAACACATGAATTTAAAAATAATGTAATTGTTTTAAAATATTTTGCAATATTCATATTCAACATCATAGTATCAGGAGTTTACTATAAAATTTTTCCATGTTATGAAAAAATAATCATAAAAATCTGTTGTGACAAATACAGTGAAATCACCATTAACAAACATCCCCTAACGATGGACATCACTTATCAGCAGTTTTCTGTAAGAATAGCCTTTGTATTAACTCTTCTTTAGAGAGGCTCTCTTGAGTGGACGTGGACACTAATTGTCAAATATTATGAGAATATTTTTTCCCAAACTGGCACAAAAACGATTCAAAGTAATTATTGCAAATATTTTAAGACTATTGTTTTTTCTGTTTATTGGATATTTTGTCACAATTGAAAAAAATTATTAAGGGGTAACGCTACTCTAGAGATTGAAAAAAAAAAGGTGATTTATGGGAATTTTCAAGGAAAAATTGATACAAGATACAAGTGTCAGGAGCAAAATTGCTTTATTGTACATGTTTTCAGGTACTATTGTAAATTTTTTTAAAAGATTTGGATCCAACATGGCGGCTGTAGGTGATGGCAAGCAGTGACACCTTTTATTCAGAGGGCTGTATGGTGGGAAAGATTTATTATTATTAACAGATGGTAACAAAAATTTCCTGATATTGAATATTAAAAGCTAAGGTACATCGTAAGGAAATTAAAAAAAATAATAATGGTTAATTTAGTAAACATTAAAAAAAAAATCGAAAGAACGACACAAAATATTGCGTTAAATTGTTAATAACAATGAAACTTGTTTATCAATTGAAAAACTATGACATTCCCTGAATTATGTTATTGTGAGGCTCTGTATAAAATTTCAAGTCGATTTGTTGAAAATTTTAAAACTTTTTAGGTTATGTTTCTGGCCAGTTAAAAAAAGTGGTTTCTGGAAAAATGCTTTTAAAGTTTTTGTTGCCATTCAGCATAAGAAATTGGTTATATGTATACGTTCATTCAGCAATGCCTGCACCATATAATTGATATTTTCTTCATCCTCTTTTTTTCGGTTTGATTTGACTCCAGTGGTGGCTTGTGACATTGAGAATAGATGAAGCATATTCATTGATTGACTAAAAAGAAAAAAAAAACCGCCGGCGCTGGCGAAAATTTTCAAATTTTTAAGGTCAAATGGCTTTAAATGAATCTAGAAATTTTTAGTTGCATTTGCAATATTACCGAAAAACTGACGTTCGTGAGAAGGATTTTCATTTAGATTTTATAAAAAATAGAAATATTAGTTCGGCTTGTGGACTTCTGCGAACATTAACGCACACCTTACATGTATGTTCCAAAGAAGCTTTGTGGTTACGACAGCTTCGCGTGACTACCAAAATTGTTAAATCCCCCTTTAATCCACACACCCGACTTTACACCCACAATTAAACACGACATACAGAAAGGTTTTTTAAATGAACATTTCCACACAACACACAACCACTTATACTCCGAATACCATTCATTCCTAAACTTTCGAACGTACACGTCTTTTGACTTCCCTTTTTTTCCATATCGAGAAAATAAAGTCTCTCGCAATTTAAAAAATCCTTTTTGTCCTCAATTTTCCATCTGGAAAATGGCATTTCCAATAAAATACATACTGGATCATACATAGTAAACAATTCTACAATTATGATACAAAACAAATATTACATAAGAACCGTTATAATCGTGCACTGGGCGGCGCGTATCGTATAAACTGTTAAAGGCAGGTGATGGGCGACACTGCTTCGATTTCTGTGTCACTCGTTCCCCTACGCCAGGGGTCGGCAAGTAATTTTGGGTGGGGTCCGGATACTTTTGAAAATTTTTAACGAGGTCCAGAAAAAAAATCATTTATTATTTTTTATTTTAATTTGCACTCAAATTTAATCTGCTTACTAATTAAGAATTCAAAACACTCACACAATTGTAAAATACTAGAAAAAATGATAAGATTGGCACTTAAACGTAAAAAACATAGTTTAAATCATTTATTTGAGTAATTTATACTTTCAAAAAATTTTTGGCGGTCCAGTATTTTACCTTCCGCGGTCCGGACCTGGACCGCGGTCCGCCAGTTGCCGACCCTTGCCCTACGCCATAGTTTAATCCTGAGTTGGGCGCCTCGTTGCTATGACAACCGCCGTAAACAACGCTATGAAGAGAAGCAGAATATGGACTGATTTCAGTCTGCGTCACTTGCGTATACTATACGTTGTATGATATGTACGTTTCAATGTTTTCTAGAAGGCGTTCACCGCGCAACTATTCTGTTTATTTCTGTGTATTAAACAAACAAACACAATACATTTTCAATATAGAATTATACCTAAATTATAAAATTTATATAAAATTAAACAACCACACAACCACAACCAAACGAAAATTTTAGGTGAAGCGGTGCGTCACCTGACGTGCCGCCACTGTTTGACTCTCAATCTGGCCTCTATAATAGCTAAGCATGTGTTCTCACAAGTTACTATAACAAGGCCTGCAGTGCGCTGTGAATGGTTGCACTCCGCCTCGAAACAACTCGTGTTCCCGATTTTTCCTCCACCTAAAACTTTTTTCGTCTGCTTCACATAATAAAGTGTTGTTTAAATCATTATTTATTCAAAAATGTTCAATATTCTAGTGGCTTTACCCCATAAACAAACCCAAAAGGAAAAGTTGAGGGTTATTTTTACTATACAGGGTGTCCCGAAATTCATGCAACAAAATTTGGTCATAGATTCTTAAGACAAATTTAGGGGACCCGTATTTTTTCTTTTTGTCAAGTGGCCCCCTCTTTTGGAGTTACAGCCCCCTGAAATCTGCCCCTAAGAAGCCTTTTTTATATCTCAAAACCATGTTGTACGAGAATCACTAAATTTGGTACACAGGGATTTTATGAAATGTGGAATCTCACAGTGCTACGCTTTTTGGCGAGAAACCCCCTTAAGACACTTTTTCGCGAGCCCCCTTGTCTTTGGAACCAGAAAAATTTGGTCGTAAATTTGATTTTTTAAAAATTGTTAGTTAACTAGAAAGCCATTGAATTTAGAAACTTTTTTGTCTCTTGATATTTGTTTCGTAAAACGCAATGTTTTTAAGGAAAATGACAAATCACATATGCATTCGATCACATTTTGACATTTTTCTCGAAAACATTGCGTTTTGCGAAAAAAGTATAAAGGGACAAAAAGTTTCTAAATATAATAGTTTTATAGTGGACTGATAATTTTTAAGAAATTTAAATATGCGAACAAATTTTTTTGGCTCCAGACAAGGGGGCCCACGAAAAATTGTCTTACGGGGGTTTCCCGCCAAAAAACATAGCACCATCAGATTCCACATGTCATAAAACCTCTACGTACCAGATTTAGTGATTCTCGTACAACAGGGTTTTGAGATATAAGAAAAATATTATTCTTAGAGGCGGACTTCAGGGGGCTGTAACTCCGAAAGAGTAGGCCACTTGGCAAAAATAAAAAATACGGGTCCCCTAAATTTGACTTAAGAATCTGTGACCAAATTTTGTTGCATGAATTTCGGGACACCCTGTACAATTTATATCTAATCAAAAATCTCATACTGGTAAAGGCAGACAAAAATTACACTTCACTATATGAACATATTTCGATTATAGTTAACGTTTCCAAAATTCAATCAAGTTTTGATAACGAGCAGAAGACTATTTTTCAAAACATTAACAATAATGGTTATAGTGATATGTATTTCTTTAGTTCTCTGCTTTTTCCAGCATGAGATTTTTAGTTAGGCAAAAATGGTTTCATAAATATAATATTTCACTGATCCTTTGGGAACAAGGGTTTACTCTATTATTTTTTTTCACAGGTGGTAAAATACCTAATTAAACAAAAGAAAAACTAAAATTTGCCACAAATAAATAACTCGTAGACAATAGAATTGTATCGGTTTATCTAGAAAAATAAATTTCTCGTAAGTGGCCTCATCCAGTCTGTCAGAAATTAAAATTATATCATAATTTTACCAATTAGAACATCTACTGATGCTGGAACCAAACCCCTGTGAGGGGCTATCAGCATACATTTTAAAATTATTAATCGACAAAAAAATAATGACAAAATTTGCAACCAGTTATTTTTCATAATTCACCACATTTATATAGCTTAAATTTTCACATACATTTATTTTATTAATACAAATTTGTCCTCACAAATAAATAGTAACTTGTTAATGGTATCGTTCTCAATATAGAAATCTTATATCAAAAAAATACATCTACAACCGTGTTGACATTTATTTGCACATTTATATTATGTAATAATGTAATATTTTTAATTAAAATTAAGTTAGCGATTCTAAAATTAAATGGCTACTATTATCAGGTTACTATTGAAAATTAACAGCAATTAACAAGTTATATCTGTTGTATAAATATATTTTATTTGAAATTTAGGTAGAATTGTGTATCAAAATAATGAGTGATATAATGGAATTACTTTTCCGTAAAGACGTTGGTCCGACCTACAACGATTTAACAGAAATTATTCAAACTGACATGAGAACTATTATTCAGAGCCATATTAAGATGGAAAGAGATAACCCACATGCTGTAAGTGTATCCTTTAAAGTATATAACTAAGAAGAATGCCCTAGCTACTATTATTATAGCTATATTTTATTTTTTGCTGTTATAGAGCAATTTGGTGGCTGTAATGATAGACATCTTCCGACAGATGACGGTAGACCATTATAATTTCTACATTAATAAATTCACAACAAACTTTGACGTACTCGATTTCCTCATGGAAATACTGGTTGTTTTCAAAGAACTCGTTAGTAGTTCCGTATTTCCCAAAGATTGGTTTGACATGATTATGCTTCAAAACAGCGTAATCTTGAAGTCCCTGAGATTTTTCTCACACACTATCAGAGACTGCTTTTTTCAAAAGTTTGAACATGATGCATGGAGTAATTTTTTCCATTGTGCGATAGCTTTTATGACCCAGGAAGCTTTGCAATTAGAAAATTTCTCTGTTAACAAGAGAATGAGAATCGTCAACCAGTACAAAGACATGAGGAGAGAGATGGGTTTTGAAATCAGGTCTATGTGGTTCAATTTGGGTAAGATACTTGTGAAAATGCTTGTAAAGGTTGCAGTTGTCTCATAAAATTTTTGAAATCAGCATTTCTTAATCTTCTAAGCCGGGAACAAATCTCAATAAACTGTAAATAAAAAAACAGTGATTGGTTTTATTGTAAATGTCATGATTTATTACTTGACTTTTCCATATGATTAGAAAGAAAGTAGTAAAAATCTGTGGATATAAATAATACCGCTTGTGTGTTAATTAATGACAAATAGCATTTTTTTATTGAAAGATCTAGTCAAAATCGTACATAAAGTACAAATTGAATCTTTGCCCAAACCAACAGAAATGCCTGATGCACGTAATTCCCCATAGATAAATGAATATCTTAGTACTATGAGATAATGTACTATTTTCGCAATTTTGATATGACATAATTTTCAGGAGAAACTGAAGAACAACCTTTACTATGGTTTATATATAAGTTTGCATTGATGTCACAATTAGTAATTAAGTGCAGTCCATCTGTATCACATTAACTCTCATCAAACTAGGAAATTTTATTGTTTTATGTTTACTACACTTTGGGACATTGACAATGCACTGAGTTAAAATCATTAAAATTAATTGATCGGCAGTCGACAGACGTTTGATGTTTTCGTTACTTTTGATGACGGCTCCATGAAATTTTAGTGTATCGCAACTGATTGAAAGCATAGAAAAAATTCTTTTTAGAACTAATAAATTAACAGTGTGTGGTGCAAAACATTAACATGAACAACAATTTTCGTGATATATTCTGTACTCCTTGCAAAATGATTGAATATTAAAAAATGACGAAGTGGTGCTAAATATTTTAAACAGACCTTTAAAAAAAGTTGGGAAATAACTCTGTTATTTTATTTGTCCAGTAGTCTACACAAAATTGTCATTTATATGGCTCCATTTTCACACCAAGTATGCTAGTATTTGTAATTTGATAGATTTAAGTTCTAGTGGATCCAATACTTCAAATGTTAATGCAGTGGGATATGTGCTAAAAAAAGATTAAGGAACGCTGTTTTAAATAATTTCTTATTCCGTAACTATTTTGTAAAACATATTTTTGATTTGATGCAAAATCTTAACATAACTTTATTTTAGGTCAAAACAAAGTACAATTCGTGCCTTCGTTAGTAGGCTTAATTCTAGAAATGACACTTATTCCAGAAATGGAATTACGGAAAGCTACTATTCCGATATTCTTCGATATGATGCAATGTGAATTCTATTCGTCCAGATATGAAATTGAAAGTTTTGGTGATACAAAACGAGACTCCTCTCATATAAAGGGCAATTTTACAAACTTTGAAAATGAAATGATTGTAAAATTGGATACACATTTTGAAGGTGGTAAGGGCGATATCGATTATAAGAAACTATTTCATGACATTATGATGGAACTCTGTGGCAAACATACTACAATGCATGAGGACGGTATCAAATTTGTTAAAATTGTTTCACGTTTAATGGAAAGCTTGTTGGAATACAGACAAATTATTACGGATGAGAATAAAGAAAATACCATGAGCTGCACTGTTAATTTATTGGTGAGTTTTTTTGATTAAAATAAAGAATAAATGCAAATAAGTTTGTGTTATCAGCTATATAATATGCAACATATTTTAGGATTTCTATTCGGAGATCAACAAAAAAGAAATGTATATAAGATATTTGAATAAATTATTCGATCTTCATTTGGACTGCGATAACTTTACCGAAGCCGCTTACACATTGGAATTACACACGAAATTATTGAATTGGTCTGAAGAAGCTCTGTCTCCACTGCTTAAGGGTGAAAAGTATGTGACAGAAAAAACCCACAGACAACTTAAAGAAACCTTGTATTACACTATTATTGACAATTACAGTAAAGGCAAGGTAAGCATTTTTTTTTATTTAATAATTATCTCTTTAAATATATATTTTCTAAGTAAAATGTAGAGCGTTGCAAAATTTCACTGATAAATTTTCTTCTTCAAAAAGAAAAAGCTATTTTATTGTACACATTCTTGGAGATAATTCATTCAAATATTAATAATCTGCAGGGTGATACTATTATTAATTGACAATGTTGATATTTTATTTATTTGTTAATAATTGATAGTCCTCTTATAGTTAATTTTTTTGTGCATCGTAAACATGTTATAGTCCGTATGGTATTTGTTGAAATAGAATTCCAAGACTCCTGCATCACTTTCTTGAAATTAACACATTTAACACCCGAGGTAGCTTGCAGTGCATACAGTGTTTTGTAGTTACGAAGGCATGTTTCTTTGTAAGTGCATTTTCAGTGTAATTTCTTATGAAAATAAATCAATGGAGGTGAAAGATAAAAGAAAGGAATTTAATTCACAGTCGAATAGTATCATATATATTTTTTAATATTCTGAAAATAACTAGGAAAATTTCAAGGCATGCCCCTGCTGCAGTAAATTGTTACAATAATTCCAATAACAGAACTTTGTTGGCTTATTCTTTTCTTGGAATTCTATCTCAACAAATATTGTACGGACTTGAGAAACATTTTGATTGTTCACAGACGTTAATTGTAGAACAGTCATAAATAGACTAATTCACAGGTCAACAAGGGTCAAGAAGCAGAAGCATTCCCGAAGGATTTTGGTGCGCTGAATCCGAATCTGGCCGCAGAATTGCTCTATCACGTCAGGTTTTTGAGATATCCTAACCTAAAAGTGCAAAAAACACTTTTTCTTCATATTTGAGGTTATGTAATAATGCCATATATTCTTTTTCAAAAAAGAAAATACATATAATATAAAAGTACAAGGCTCCCTCTTTCGAATGCCGTTGAGTTTGCTCAAATATCTTTTTTTTTTTTTCGTTGAGATATCACATGCTGAAGTTTATCAGTTTCTTAATATGCGAAAATCTACTAAGGATCCCTTAGACGTGAAACAGTTGATTGCAGTTCAGAAACTTCATACTCGGAAACCTTCAATACATACGAACTCAAACTCACAAACTCCAAATCCACAAACCCACAAACCCCAAATCTACAATCCTTAAACCCACAAACCCCAATCCCACATAACCCGAACCTACAAACTCCAAGCTTACAAACCCCAAGCCTACCAACTCCAAACCCACAAACCGTATGGGTATGAAGTTTCTGAATTGCAATCGACTGCTTGATGTCTAAGGGATCGTTAGTAGATTTTCGCATATTAGAAACTGAGAAACATAAAAATTTTAACATGTGATATCTCAACGAAAAAAAATATATTTGAGCAAACTCAACGGCATTCGAAAGAGGGAGCCTTGTACTTTTAGATTCAATGTATTAGTTTTTTGAAAAACAATAGATGGCATTACTACATAACCTCAAATATGACGAAAAACAGTGTTTTTTTGCACTTTTAGGTTAGGATATCTCAAAAACCTGATGTGATAGAGCAATTCTGCTGCCAGATTCGGATTTAGCGCCCCTAAATCCTTCGGAAATATATATTCAAGTTTCTGCTTCCAAAAAAGAGTTAAATTTTGTTGGTCTGTGATTATTAATGTATTATGTACTAGTTCTCACTGGCTGATGCTTGCCAGAAACTATTTTAGTATGGAAAACAGAACTTTCGACCAATATGTTTTCTCAATAATTCTTTAAATAATAACTATTATTTTATCCATCATTTCAAATATATTATTAACATGGAAAGTGTTTAAAAGTTTTTTATAGACACTTTTAATTTTTCAAATTATAAGTTTGTTTTTGCCTGTGCTTTATAATGTACTGTCTTTACACAAATAATATGTTTATATAAAGTGTTAACACTTTAAAAATTATTATCTATATACAGACCCATAATAAAAATTTTGTATGGTTTCTAAACCTATGGTTTCTAGTGTCAAAGATGTTTCATGTGTATCTCTGTCTGGGTCTTAGTAATGACACTGCTTTCCTTTTCAGAAAATACAACTTTGTTTTATCCCTAAATTTTTTGAACTCCCGATTTTTTTTTGTATTTTAACTTTGTATTCACCAAAATGTATATTTTTTTCTTGTGGGAGAGCTAGTATCATAACTGTGCCTTATTGCAATAACCTTTGACAAATACCAACATCTATGGTACAGTTTACTCTGGCGGGATTCATACCCATAATTGTTATACATTGATACAGTCTAAGTCTCGCTGATTAATATTGATGTATTTTAATAAATAAAAAATTTATCAGGAAGTATAAACCAAATTTTTTTATTGTATCGATTGATTTTATGTGTATATCAGTTGAACCTGTCCTGATTATGACATATTTCATTGCTTTATCACTGGATCAGAATTAATCCTTTACTACCTACTAGGTATGTAAATAGTTGCTAATATTCTCATAGTGCTGCCATAAGGCATTTGCAGAATTGAAGTAGCCAGAAGTTTTCATTTAAAAACTAAATTTCAGAATAAATCTCAGTAAGAAGTTTTGGTATGTAAGTCCGTACTAATATATTTTGCAACCTAAAATAAGCACGTCTTTAGAATACCGTGATGAATATGACAAAAATGTAGCATTTCTGAGCACATGCTTACAAGAACTTTTTTTGATTTGTGATATAGAACCTGCCATAAGACTTATCGGCCATTTTATTTACACCCTGTATAAAAGGAAATACATATTTCAGATGTGGGAGTGTGCTATAAAGAAGTGCCAAGAATTAGCTGAGCAATATGAACAAGAGACGTTCGATTACGATCATTTAAGCGATTTGCACAAACGTATGGCAGTTTTTTATGACGATATAATGAAGAAGGCTAGAGCCGAACCCGAATATTTCCGTGTCGGTTATTTTGGAAAGGGTTTTCCCCAGTTTTTACAAAACAAGATTTTTATTTATCGTGGTAAAGAATACGAGCGATTAGCAGATTTTAATGCAAGGATTCTTAATGAGTTTCCAAAAGCAGAACTTTTAAACAAACTTACACCTCCTGGGGAAGATATTACTGGATCAGACAAACAATGTATCCTTTTATTAAAAAAATAAAGAAATACATCTTATTAATTGTTAAAAATTGTAAAATTTTTCTTAATAATTGATAGACGTTCAGATCAACAAAGTTGACCCTATAATGGACGAAAAGAAGCAGAGATTTTCCGGCAAGCCAATAGCTGATCAAATCGTGAAGTTCTATAAAGTTAATAACATTCAAAAGTTTACCTTTTCTAGACCTTTTACAAGAAAAGATCCTCTTATGGAAACGGAGAACGAGTTTGCTCATTTGTGGCTAGAAAGGACAGAATTGAGTACTACTTACCCTTTGCCGGGAATACTGCGTTGGTTCCCGGTTCAATATGTTAATGTCATTGAAATTTCACCTTTACAAAACGCTATAGAAACAATGGAAAAAACAAATAGAACCTTGACGAATTATATTAACGTTTTTAATAAAGACAATAATATGCAAATAAATCCTCTTAGTTTAACACTAAATGGTGAGTTTGAATTTTTATACTGTCTGTATGGTTTTCTCACATCTGTTGTATTACTTCAGGTATCCTAGATGCGGCTGTCATGGGAGGAATTAAAAACTATGAAGAAGTTTTCTTTACATCCGATTATGAAGTTCATCATGCTGACGATAAATTGTTATTGGAGAAGCTGAAAGATCTGATTGCCGATCAGATACCTTTATTGGGCCACTGTGTGCAAATTCACAAGATGAAGGCTCCCGATAACTTGCAGCCTTTACAGAAAAGATTAGAAGAATGTTTTGCTATAATGAAGGCTGATGTGGAAGAGAAATATGGGAAAAGAGTAAGTTTCCTTTTATTTGAGTAACTGTAGGTAACATAATTCTTTCAAAGCATCGTTATTTGTATTTTTTAAAACTCCAAAAATTTTATTAGTCATTTGTAATTTACGGAGTTTCATTAAGAATAGGGCAAAGTCTAATGGGAGACTTTTTTTACTTACTAGAAGTGTACTTAAGGGGGAACATCTGAGTAGACAGCCAAAAAATTGGTGAATTTTAGGAATTATCTTAAAAACTATCTGTTCGATTTTATCCAGGCTTGTTTTATTCGAAAATATACATGTTGAGTATGCCGACAAATTTCTTTATAAATATATATTGACTGGGAGCGCTGCTGTTAGGGTTGACATAAAAAATGTTTCGTCGGTTGATGAAACAAAAATTTCACAAAGATTTTCAAAATGTAATGTATGATGCTCTTTGCAACGTAACAATTGGTTGAGCCGTTTTCTGAATATTTTGGGAATTATCTTTGAATAGTATGTTTTGAGATAATCACGTTTGAAGTTTAGCAAAAAATTGAGGCGCTTGGGAACTTGGTCCCTCGTCAGCTTCTCAGTAAATCACCCATAACTTTTACAATTCTTTGAATATCAAGATATAGTGTAAACTCTTTTTAACGAATCTTAAGGGATCGGGGATTTTTTTCGTTATAAAGAGTTTTTGTTATATGGAGGGAAGAAGGAAAAATAACCAAATTTCACCAATTTGAATAATTTCCAATTTTATTATGTACTGTCAATAGGTAATTAATTATTCCAAACACATATATTCTGTTAACTTTGCCTGACGTTTTTTGCTATGCCAATATTTTTTTGTATTTTCTTAGGTATCTTATGCATGTCTTGGGATGTGGTGGAATCATCTCCATGAAATAATTAGAATTTTTGGATGAGTTTGGCGGCATCAAGTGCTTGTTGAACAGTTGGTGTGGTCAGAATCGCCCACTTGATCATCTTCATTATCTTCATTTGGTTCCTCTTTACTTTTTGACACTGAATCAATAATGTCTTCATCAGTGAGTGAAGCTGTTGTGGCCAGGTCCTGATCTATACATATATGTTTGTAAATCTTCGCAGAAATGATTCGGTTGTATGCTGAACTGTTTAATCCAATCACTCAGTGGTAGATTGTCTTCACTACCAAACTGCTCTGTTTCTACTGTCTGACTGTTACATAGTCCCGCGTGACAAAAAAAATGCTGTATTAGTCCAGGGAAGTTAGGAAAAATAGCGGAAATTTTTAGGTGCAGCAGATATCGAAATGCGGTTTTCTGTATTGTGTTCAAGAAAGTCTCAGGAAAAAAGTCTATATCGTCTGGTTAAGCCATTTTTTGAAAAATGCCTTCTGGGCCGGAAAATGCATTTTCCAATTGCACTATTACTTGCACCATTATAGGAACGACTGGAAACTCGGAAAAATCGCTCGGAAATCGTTACTCGGGGGTTTTCGGGGCTGCCGAACTCGATTCTGGCATTAGAATTACCCGGTGGTGAAGGGGGTGGCTCTGTGGGGGTGCGCGGGGGGTGAATTGGGGGAGAAATGGCAGCGTACATGGAAATCGCTCCAAACTCATAACTCGGGGGGTTTTCGGGGATGCTGAATTCAATTCTGGCATTGGAATTACCCGGGGGCGGCTCTGTGGGGGTGTCCGGGGGGTCATTCTGGGGGCGGGGGGAAATTGCATAGTCCATGGAAAGCGCTCCAAACTCGTTACTCGGGGTTTTCGGGGATGCCGAATTCAATTCTGGCATTAGAATTACCCGGGGGTATGAATAATAAAAATTTTGATTGAATATTAAATAAAAAAATATTACACATATTATAAAAACAATTGCTTTGGAAGTCTTTTGTGCCTCGAAACTGGATTTGAAAAAGGCGCCAAAGCTATAAAGAGAGTAGAGTATCGTTACCACGGGGACCGGCGCGAACAGAAATATTCTGTATCGACTGAAGAGAAAAATTATGGGTCCAGTTCCCGCGCGCAGTCGGCGTCTGTGTGGCATCAGTATTACATCTGCCGTTTAGGACCACGTTGCTTTTTCGTTGTATGTAAATACAGTGCTGTAGTAATCAAGTTTCTTGGATTTTGGACCTTTTTTTGGTGTTTGAGTTCTGTCCGGCACTCTTATACCACGTTGGTTTTTTAATAAAGTATTATTTTCATAATTTGTGATTTTTCACTTTCCCCTTTACCATTTCCCACAGAGCCACCCCCGAGCGCCTCCGAGGAAGTATAATGCCAGAATCGAATTCGGCATCCCTGAAAACCCCCGACTATCGATTTTGGAGTGATTTTCATGGACGCTGCCATTTCCCCCCCCCCAATCACCCTCAGACAACCCCACATAGCCGCCCCCGATCGCTCTCGGGGAAGTCTAATGCCAGAATTGAATTCGGCATCCCCGAAAACCCCGAGTAACGAGTTTGGAGCGCTTTCCATGGACTATGCAATTTCCCCCCGCCCCCAGAATTACCCCCCGGATACCCCCGCAGAGCCGCCCCCCAGTAATTCCAATGCCAGAATTGAATTCGCCATCCCTGAAAACCCCCGAGTAACGAGTTTGGAGCGATTTTCATGCACGCTGCCATTTCTCCCCCAATGAATCCCCCGCGCACCCCCCACAGAGCCACCCCCTTCACCCCCGGGTAATTCTAATGCCAGAATCGAGTTCGGCAGCCCTGAAAACCCCCAAGTAACGATTTCCGAGCGATTTTTCCGAGTTTCCAGTCGTTCCTATAATGGTGCAATTGGAAAATGCATTTTCTGGCCCAGTAGGCATTTTTCAAAAAATGGCTTAACCAGACGATATAGACTTTTTTCCTTTTTCCTGGGACCTTCCTGAACACAATGCAGAAAACCGCATCTTGATATCTGCTGCACCTAAAAATTTCCGCTATTCCGGTCGATTTTGATCTAAATGCACTGGTTGCTGCTGTTACCTCTTTCCAGGCTTTCCATATAAAATTTACTGCTTGTAGTATATTATCGAGGTCTTGCCGTCAGTATCGATCAGTTCCATCAACAATTTCCTTCTATAGTGACCCCTTAGACTTTTAATCACACTCTGATCCATCGGCTGCAAGATACTGGCTGTATTTGCTGGGAAAAATGCTAACTCTATGTTTCGAAGATTGGTTATAAAAGGGTGAGCAGGGCAATTGTCTACTAGAAGTAAGATTTTCCATCCCTTTAATTCAGCATCCCATTTTCTAACTTCTTCAAAGACCTGCGATGTCATCCAACCACGACAACATTGCTTGATCTAAGTCTTCGAATTTTGGCTTCCTTAATTTTTTAGTAGACACTCCCTGCAGTTCCGCCTGTAGAATTGCTTCTTTGTTTTTCCAAATGGTAGCAACAGTAGATGGACTGAGGCCTAAACGTCTTCTTCCAACATCACTTTTCTCCCTTTTTTTAAAAACACGTATCAAACTTTTTCGTTAACACATAACAGTTTTCTTTTACTAGCCATTTTTCTAGAAACAATGTAATCCAAGAGTAATGGCAAACGTGTTCGAGGCAATTAAAAATAACAAAAGCAAGGCAGTTGTTTACGACCTCAGGATCTTTCTTAAAAATTGTGGCACCTCAAAGACTTATCTTTTGTAAGCTGATTATAAAAACAATTACACTATTCGTAATAGAGAATGGCTGTTGCGCTATAAAGAGTGTTAATATGTGGGTTTTGACGTAAACCAACTAAATTAACCTAATTTCTATGTTATAGGAAGTTTTTCGTTATAATGAACGACATTATAAAGAGTTTACACTGTATTTACACACGATATTCTTCATACTCCAAACTTGGAGAGTTTGTTTTTGAAAAATCGATATTGAGAATTTTTTTTTTTTACTTTACTGTTAATCTGCGATTCCTAGACCATAGCGTAGACTCCACAGCACTGGTAGCATCTTCTGCAGTAATTCGTGACTGCCTTTGCTAAATCTCTCCTTCATAGGTCATGTTATGAGTTTTGACTTGAGTGATATGCACGCATTTGGCATCTTCGATTTCGTAATGCTGATCAGCGTTTCGTCCTACCTTGAAGTCATTCTGTTAAATTGCCCATAACTTCCACAATTATTGGAATTTCAATACGAAATTTACACACACATTTCTTAAGACCATAAACATTAAGATGAACGGAAAAAAAATTTGATTGATTTGAATTTCTACTCAGATATTCCCCTTTAATTGATAATGAAAATAAATATTTCTAAGATTTTGTTTTTTAATTCAAATTGTTATTATGTGAATAAAAAAGTTGAGGTCATATTTGTACCATCGTTAAAGGGCCACACACTGCGTGCCTGGCACGTTTGTGCAGATTCGTGCGGCCTAATTACTTTGACTTACGAATCTTCCATTAAAATAATTTTTAATGAAACATCCTGTATTTTAAAATATCAGTGAATGAATAATTAAACGTTCTTAATATACCTGTAGGAGTCTGACATTAAATTAGAAAATGAGGTGCAAATGAGGAGACATTACAGTATAACAAGCGACAGACTTTCAGATATTACAATCACACCTGAGTAAGTTATTATTTTTTTTATTAATTCATTGCATGTTTCTATGTATATGTGTAGTGTTTATTACTTATTTTAAATTAGATCATTACATTTCACTTGTCTTTTGTGGGCATTATTAATTTGTCACCCATGTTTGTATGCAATAGTAAGCTTTGCATTCGTCCTGTTTATTTAATAAAACAAAAGGATTATTAAGTAAACCGGACGGAATTTTTACTTTAACATTTTGATGTAGTAATGTTGGTGGTCGTAGCCGAGTGTCGAGTTTAACAAGAGGCCAAGTGGCATCGTTGAAAAATTTCACATCAAATTTTAATTTTACTACCTCCTCGCCTATGGTTAACAGGTTTGTATTTGCACAAGATCTAACGCCTTACTGTAGACATGTAGTGCTGCTAACCAAGTAATCCCAAAATAATTTTCTACTTTTCAGGCGCGAATGTAGGTTGTTTTTGACAGTACTATCAAATTTGTACAAGCATATTCCTTAAGTAAAACTAACAAAAAAATTTATATCAATTATTAAAGTATAATAGTGGCTGATGAAAATTAAAATAATTTTTTTTTTAATGAATTGCCAACATAGTTTCATTGCTGAGCGTGAGATCGCAAGAAGGGTTGCACATATATTTGCAAATTATTTTTTCCATTCAATTTTAAACTGTACTTTATTATCAAAATATGTCCACCTTAACACGTTCACTGCGAGATAATCTCAATGTACTTTGTCCTTGACTGCGATACATATCTTCGGGGATATGTAACAAAACTCTTCTGTGTGCGGTACATATCCCTGGGGATATGTAATTTTTTTACATTTGACACTATAAAATTAAAAATAACACAATTATTGCTATAAACTTGCATGTATCTGCAACTATATATCCTAGGATACTAACGTTTTCTTTCGCAAAGAGTTTTGAAAAGAAAATAATAGGGAAATCATTATTTCTAAAAACTACAGATTCTGCAACTTCCAGATACAGTAAAAATGTGATTATTGAGATTCGCATATTTTTTATAATGAGTACATACCCCCGGAGGTATGTACCGCAGTGAACGTGTTAATATTCTCTAGCCTTCACTGCTTAAATCAGATTTGATTTGATGACGATCGTAAGAAATAAAAATAATTGTGCTGTTGTTTTGAATGCTCAACAGAAAAAAATTAAGTGTCTTTATTAAATGATCATATATCAACATGAATGATACATATCAACTACATATGTTTTATATGGTATGATAAACTTCTACAATATAAAAATTTTAACTTTGGAAATAATAATAATAATCAATTTACTTTATTGGGTAAACCAAATGGCCACCAACCAAAGTCCTTCAGCCTGATTTGGAAATAATAAATGATAATGTAGAAAATGTGCCCAATTTGATATTTTTTTGTTTGTATAACAGTAGATGCAAAACGTTTAATTTAAATTTTAATAACTGTTAAGTTATATATGTTACAATGATTGTACATAGCTTTAAAAAAATTATATTTTAAGATATAATAATACATTCCTAACTGTTTTACACAATCGAAGAAATTCATGAATTAGAACAAGTTGATGAATTTGTTAAAAATATTACAAATGTATTACACAGTCTAATATTTTGTTGTAAATATTCAGTAGGGTCGATTTTAAATATTAATATTTGTTTGATAATAGCTTCTAATAGTTTTAAACGAATAGTAGTTTATTTGATTTTGATACATTCGTCCTGCATAAATGTTTTGAAATTCTGACAAAGTAGAAAAATATTTAACAAAACTAACACATTTTTCTTAATTTTCAGAAGGGGTCAGTCTTCAGCAAATAGCCGAAATACTTCATTTGCCTAATTACCCCAGTTCTGCTTCTAATTCACTTTTTTATTTTTTTAATTAGTATATTTTAAATACTTTTTTCCGTGGACTGCACTGGATTTACTAACATGGTAATTATTTAACCTTCACGTGGAGCTTTGCATGATTATCCTGCATTATTAAAATCTATTAATTTGAAAATAATTATTGCAAAAACGATTTTTTTTATTTTGATGTTAAATGTTAATCAAAATATATTGATTCTTTTTTAATCAGAATTAGAGCAGCAATTACTAATACTAACTACTACTTAATAAATATTTTTTAAAGTAGTGTTTCCAAAATTGCTCCCAGTTAATGCATTTATCTTTTAAGGTTGAATAGTTTTCAATGGAATCTCGACCAATTTAAATTTTTTTCCAAATATAAAACGGTTCAGGGTTAGTTTAATATCTTCAGAAACGAATTGGTCACATTACCAGGATTTGTGCCATTATTAATGATTTTTTATGATTTACTTCTGTTTGAAAGACAACATTTATTGAATTTTGTTACTTAATGCTACTGCGTTTAAACAGCTATTCATATATCATTAAGCTCTGAATAGAGATATGCGGGTCTAAACATAAAAAATATTTATGTAGCTACAAATTTAATAGAAAAACGAAGACTGGAATTTAGTGTTGTACATATTCGGATTACTCAAAAAATGTAGATAGATCAAGGGTCGGCAAGTAATTTTAGATGGGGTCCGGATATGTTTGAAAATTTTTAACGAGGTCCAGAAAAAAAATCATATTTCTTACAAATTTTTTATTTTAATTTGGACTCAAATTTAATCTGCTTACTAACCATTAAGAACTCAAAACACTCACACAATTGTAAAATACTAGAAAAAATTATAAGGTTGGCACTCAAACGTAAAAAAACATTTTTTAAATAATTTATTTAAATAATTTTATACTTTCAAAAAATTTTTGGCGGTCCAGTATTTTACCTTCCGCGGTCCGGACCTGGACTGCGGTCCGCCAGTTGCCGACCCCTGAGATAGATAGCTATCCAAATAGCTAGAGCAATCGTCGATTGTCTCATCTGTGACTAACGCGAACCGATATGAATGATCTTAGCTATTTACTAGATATTGTTATTAATGCCAGTCGAGGCATAGGAACCATGAAGTAGTTGTTTCCCACAAAATCATTAGTTAAAGAAAATCTCAACAGTTATACATATAAAACCGCACTTGTTTTTATGTATTATGTAGATATATATGCTACGATGTTCAGATTTGATCCAGAACACATCGCACACGCATCTACACAATTAACTGCTGTAATGATGGTGCCACTTCACGACTTGCTATGATTTTTTTGGGTAGTCGGTAAACTTTTTACGGAAGCAAAATTCCTTTCCTCCTCCTATAGACCACATACTTTTAATACATTGATACTTGAGCATGTTTTTTTTAATGAAACTTGATATTAATGACACACCATGAAAATTTGTATTAAAAGTAGTTGGAAATGATTATTAAGACACCAGTGCAGTGCAATTGTAAGATACACCAGTTTCACTTAACTTTCCATCTTGAATACCTTTCAAAAAATAATTTCAATTACAAAATTCAAGGATATTAGCATGGGCGTAGCCAGGGGGTAGGGTGGGGCCACGGCCCCCCCAATTGTTGGTGCAAGTTAAAAAATTACATTACTATTACTGGACGCATTTTTCAGTCAAACTAAAAAGTGTTTAGGTTCGAAATTTTATATCGGTAAGTCGTTAAATGCATGACTTTTAAAATCAAAGAAAAAAGTATTTTGGGTTTTGAAGTGCGTGAGCTTTTTTTTAGCCTCCATAGAGCTTGCAGCTCCGGGTGCACCCCAAGCAAAAATCCTGGCTACGCCCGTGGATATTAAATATATATTTAAAAATAGAAGATTCACAGATTTAATATATAAATCTGTGGTGTAGTTAGTATTGCATCCTTAATCCTGCTCCTCGAATGATTTTGACAGTTAGCAAATGATATGAATTTTTAAAATTTGTTTCATGATGTAACATTTTGAGAATGTGATAAGTAAGCTATTTGCCATCTCTAATGACATTTTTTTTCCCTTTCATTTACCTACTAACATTTTATTCATTTTAATAGAAAGCAATTTGAGATATTGGTTGTACCCAACTAATAAATATTTAGTAATAGTAGAATGTATATTTCGACTTAACTTTTATTAGTGAATATTTTATTAACACCTACACTATTTGTAGTATCTTTTGTATGTATGATTTTAGTTATAAATGTTAGAAATTGCTTTTACGATAATGCAAGTCTTGTGTCTATGTTGCGTCGATATGTACCTAACGATCATTACATTAAGACTAATTGATATTTTAGCCGATCAACTCATCACAGCCATTCCAAAAGCCTCATATCATCCCCGACAAAAAGCCTTACCAACACTCCGTCGTTAAGTCATAAAAAATCACACAAGACCAAAGAAAAAAGAAGATCAAGTAAGTCTGACATTGCTAGTCCGTCCAACACTAATACCGCGACTCAGTGGTACACCTCGGATAACGATAACAATAATTCTGTTACTCCTAATGGTGGGTCCACACCGATATTCGAACTAACACAAGAGGTAAGAAAGGAGAAGAAAATATATCTTTGGCATGTTACTACTTAGCTTGAGCATGACGAATCACATGAATTAAAATTTGGGAAGGCCAAAAATTTTGTTTTAAATAGTCAATATTCACAAGGTGATATTGAATTTGGAATATTTGTGGTCCTACATTTGACACTAATTTTCGCTTGGCACTTGCAGAAAAATTGATATGTATTGCTAAAATATATGTACCATTGGTCAAACAATTTGTGGGTTTGTTCCCATAACAGGTTTAGAGTTCTTGACGTTGAGAGACGTCTCGCTCATTTCTTCAAAAGAAACTTTGTAGTCAAAACAAACAAGAAGTTTAAATCAACAACCATAGCCCTGAAATTGTTCAACCATTGTCAACTGATATAGAAGCTTACAAACTTTTGCACATTAAAACCTTCAGGTATTGTCTAGTGGTTAGTGTGTATCTATTAAGCCATCGTTTTCACTGCTTAAATTTGTTAGAGTGTACTAGTTAACCTGAATAACAAAAATGCCTGTCTTTGAACGCCTTACTACAGCTATATACAGAGTGAGTCATTAATAATGGTACACAGTTTAATGGCATATTGTTAACGTCAAAATATAGTGATTGAGCCAAACATGCCATAATCAATTATTGCTCCTTTTTGTTCTACAGGATGTTAAATTTGAAAAAATATTTTCCTTTTTTATCTATATTTTAAGTATATATGGACCGATTGTTTTGAAAATTTGTAGTTTTATGTTTTTTGAGGAAGCAAATACGAATATGCAAACAATGTTGGGGTCACGTCTAGAGGGCGCTAGTTATACTGTCCTATCAATGTAAAAATCTGTCTAACTTTTTGTATTTTACAATTTTGACTTTTTTAACTACAAATTATCGAACTACGTTCAATTCTAAATAAAAAAGGTGTACTAGTTACAAATCGATAAACTAAACCGTTTTCGAGATACAGACGTTTTAAGTTTTTGAGATTCGGCCCCTAATTACGAGTATTTAAAAAATATCCCAATTTGGACAATTTTTACTACCTCGCACGGAACTTTGATTGTTTTCGCCCACTGTGCGATATTTACATTCGACGTGAAGTTATATCAATCTTCAACTGACATTTAGTTCAAAAAAACATCACATTATTTGTCTGAACTAGTTGATTTGCAATTGTGATTCGGTTGCGATATCGGTTATAAACAAAAAACAAATGAGAGAATTAAAAATGTATTCGTGGTTTCAAGTACATTCGTAGTTATATTATTTTTCTACATAGTCACCATTTGGTTTCAAACAGTAAAACGAGCTTTTTAAATCTTTGTCATAAAATGCCGTCTGGGATTGCAGCTTGTTCTGCATTGAGGTTTTTAACTCTTCCATTTCTATAAATGGTTAAGACTTAAGACGTAGGTCAGTTCTTGAGGTGTAGCAAGAGATGGTAAATAGTGGATGTGAGGTCATTACTATAGAGCAGTGGTATTCAATCAGAGGTATGCGTACCCCTAGGAGTATGTGAAGACATTTTAAGGGGTATGTGAAGGGATTTCTTAGGATAGGTAGGTAGGTACATAGAGAAAAAAATTAAGTTAATAATAGAACAATTCCATTAATTTCACAATTATACACACATATAAATTTGTATTCGTTCATTTAAAAAATAAGAACCGCAACTAGCTTAATCCAGAAGCGTTCTTATTCTCGCAGTTATTAATGTTCAGTCTTGTACTAAAAATCTGTCCAAATTTCAATGTAAATATTGTAGTTATGGTAATGTATGCGCTTAAACTAAAACCGCTGTATCTTTTCCATTGTGTGACAAGCAATATTCGTATGAACTAAGACGAAAAATTCTAATCAAATTACTAATTAGTCACATGCATTGAAAACGAGGAATTAGACCCTGATTTGTGCAATATACATGTTCAAATTTTATCATTTATTGCCCACACTGGTGCGTAAGTGGGCACTAGGGATAATATATTTTTAAGCAGTGCCCCTGACAACATATGAGACGGTTTTTAAACTTTAAAGCAATATGATTCTATATTTTTATAAAAATTGTTGTTAGTTGATTGGGATTGCCGAATTACATACCGTTAGGGTTCGTAATTCAAAAGTAATAAAGAATTCCCTGACTTCCAGGTTTTCCCCGACTTATAAAAAAAAATCCAGGTCACTTGTTCATTTTTACATACTGGTGTTGGTAGTGTTTTATGCATTAAATTTTTTCTCGACTGGACTCCATAATCCTTTTTATACCTTAACAACCTCTTATAAAGGTTTCAAAACCACAAATAGTTTTCTCTTTCAAGAACCCAGGGCCGGCTTTCACAAAATTTCCAGTTGCAAACATCAAATTCCCTGACTTTCATGAATATTTTTAAAATTCCTCGACTATTCCCTGTTTTTTATGAAGAATAACAAATTCCCCGACTTCCCGGTATTCCTAGCCGCTACGAACCCTGATGGTATTTGATGGGCAGCGAACGTGTTAAATTTAAATGTTTCTTGGAAGGGGTCTGCGAGGTTGAATATCTGCTATAGAATGGATAGACTGAATTTTTTCGATTATGCTCAGTCATATGCAAACATGCGTTTTATCATGAAGAAAAACAAGCCCTGACTTCAATATATTTCACCCACAGCTCAAAAGGTAGTATGTGTCTTAACCATTGGAATAAATTGACGAGTTAAAAATCTCAGTGCAATGCTGGCTGCAATCCAGGCAGTGGTATTTCAGGCGGAGGGTTTTGAAAAACTTGCTATATAATTTCAAAACTGTTTAGAACTAAATGCTAACTATATAGAAAAGTAACGTAACTATGTATGTATTTGAAACCACTAGTACATTTTACATTTTCTCATCAGTTTTATAATCGATCATACATTCAGTTATGTTAACAGGGCTGCAATCCAGGCAGTGGTATTTCAGGCGGAGGGTTTTGAAAAACTTGCTATATAATTTCAAAACTGTTTAGAACTAAATGCTAACTATATAGAAAAGTAACATAACTATGTATGTATTTGAAACCACTAGTACATTTTACATTTTCTCATCAGTTTTATAATCGATCATACATTCAGTTATGTTAAGGACCTTCTTTCATGTACCAGTATTATCAGGTACCAAATAAACTTGATGAAAATAAAGTAGGTAGTTTGATTGCATCAAAAATTCGTACAAATAGGATGCAGGTAGTGTAATCACACACATTGTTATTAAATACAGGATGTCTCAATATTCAGTGTACATGGAGCTGCCACAGTTTCCTGCGATCAAAATAAGCAGATTTAACTAAACTCAAATTTACGTCTATTAGAGGGCATCAAAGTTGACAAAAAAAAAATATTTTTTTTTTCAAATGATTTATATTGGGATATCCTGTATATTTGTTTTAATGTGACATTTCAAGATTTTAATACAAATTTGCGTGCAACGTAACCTCTGCCTTATGGCCCATTTACACGAAGCCAGTTGTGAAGACATTCAACTAAGCCAATCCAATGACAAAGGCAAAAGCAACGGCAGTTTGCAACAGCAAAGGCAATCCAATAAAAATTCAATTGAAGTTTACACGTAGACCAGTCCGCTATCCGCTAGGTTAGTATCTTTGTTTAATCTATGGTCTAATATATACGGTTGTGTAGAATGGATAGGCGAAAAACTTTGAGAGCTAAATTGAAAAAAGTATTAATATTAACACAACAGAAAATACTCGAAATAATAGAGGAAGAATCAACTGTTGAAAGAAGATGGTGGGTCAGACCATGGCTAGCCAGGAGATCCGCATTATTGGGCTAATCAGGTCTTATCTTAAGAGAATTAGAAACATAAGATCCTGAAGAATATAAATTGTGCATCTCGGTACTCCATTTTAGACAAAACCATGTTGAAAACTGATTGCAAATAAACCACACAAAAAAAAACCAAAACACAAACACGTGCATCCGGCAAAAACATAGGCGACTGGCTTACTGGCTTGGCTAGGAACGTACGTTCTCACAAATGCCATTACACAAGCCAATCCACTTCTTGAGTGGTGGGGGACGCTATTGGCTCCTAAAATTAGAAACCATTCTAATTAGTGGAGTGTCTTGGGACAATAGCTGGAGACATTCCATTTACAGGATTATCTCTTACACGATGCCAATGTTGGATTGGCTTAGTGGAATGTCTTCACAACTGGCCTTGTGTAAATGGGCCATTACTGGTATTTATATTATTTTCGGCTTTCTCTTTTTGAATTCATGGAAATGTAATTTTCTTCTTCATTCATTTCTTATTCTCATTATCAATGAGAATTAAATTTTCATTTGAAAGAAAACTATGTATTTAAAAGCAAATTAATATTCTCAAAAATTTTGACTCATATATCGTTTATGATTTGATGCCTAGCTTCATCCAAAGAGGCCTCTCCGTTCTGAGGTAGAAAGAGAAAAACGATTAAGTCGTCCTTCCAGTGGCCAGTTTTCGAGACCAAATAGTATATCAGTGACTATTAGAGGAACGGGGAGTTCTGGAGCCAGTAGCAATAGAGATTCAATAGGTAATGTTTTTTTCACTGTTTATTATGAAAAAAAAATTGGCTCACTTTTTAACTTAAATATGTACCTACGTTGTCGATGCTTGAATTTTTTTTTTTAGGTACCACTGATTCTAGCATAAGTGAGGAAGATGCAGTGCCTCCGCCTCTACCTGCTAAGCACAGGGATTTGGAAAACTGCAACTCTTTATCTTCAAATGAAAATTACAGTTTCTTATATTCTCAACGGACTTCCATTTTAAGGAATTCTTTACAGATTAAAATGTCTACCACAGAAACAATCGAAGTGGATATAGACGACAGCGATTTACCTCCAACGCCCCCTCCAAAACCACCCAAAAATAAAAGCCAAACCAGTTCAGCTTAACCTATTATGATGTGTAATCAGCAGGTACTCGCCTAAATGTCCCTAATTACAATTTAGTACAGTTGTATATTTATCATATCAAATCCTTACCTGAATGTTTTGTAAATGCTTTTTACATACCTCAAAAAGGTGCTTTCAAGATAAAACATATTTTTAATATTGTTACCATAAGTGCCATTTATCGCTTTTAGGATACTCCACGATAAAGAATGTACTGCAAATTGTCTTCTTAAAAAGCTTCACATTTTAGAATGAAGCGAGTCAATTTTCCCAAGTAAACTGTTTTGAGAAAGTATGCTTTAATCCATATTCTAATCTAATTAGATATCAAAATAGAAAAAGTAGTTTGTCTACTTTCAAAAAGACTGTAGTTTGTTTAAGCACAACTTGTTTTTAGTACAATTTGTTATATCTCTAGTGGCAATAGTAGAGTGTGTACTTTTTATATTAATAATCGTTGAAATAAGTTTAACACAAATATTCCTTGTTTTGTTTTTCTTTTTTGTACTATATTTGTATAAATTATTTATGTGTTTTAACCAAAGATAGTATTTTTATTGTATAAATTATGAATGTTTAATACATTTTCTATATAAACAATTACTACCTTTTTTTCTTTACTTCACATATAAAAAACCTAGTCGGTTACTTTTGAATTTTTTTTGTGTAGTTTTATTTTGAGAATGATAAAACTCTATGCCACTACAATGTAAGGAGGGGCCAATTTCAATATGTACTTTTGTGGGTCTTGTTTGTCCCGAGTCAGACCAAAAGGTTCTCCGAAATTTTTTTTTTTTTTTTGAGAAAAATTGAACAAAAACCCTAATATCTTGATTCGTTTTAAGAGAAACAGAGGAGATACATTTATCATTTTTGGTAAGTTTTCTTTTAATTTTAGGGATCTTATTTATACACAATGTATAACTAAGTGGGTAATATGTGCTCCCCAGAATATACTAATCTGAAATTAGTTTAATTTTTTTATTTTTATTGTGACGAAATATAAATAAAAAAGTAACTGAAAATGCTGCAAATAAATAATTACAGAATTTTTTAATCCAACCGTCAAGATATGGCGCTTTTTAAACTGCACTTAAATTCTTGTCTACACTGCTACTGGGCAGTTCCCAAATCACTATACTTTTTTTTTGTCAATAAGGACAAGGCATTGACATAATTCTCGAGTGATGATTTATTAAATACCGCCTATTAATTATAAGTAAACCTAATGTTTTAAAATTATTATTTTTGCTATTGTAGAAATGTTTCTCATGTATGATTCAGTATGTATTTTATTGGAAATGCCATTTTCCAGATGGAAAATTGAGAACAAAAAGGATTTTTTAAATTGCGTGAGACTTGTGCCTTATTCTCTCGATATGGAAAAAAGGGGAAGTCAAAAGACAATGTGTGCGTTCGGAAGTTTTGGAATTCGGAGTGTGGAAGTGTTTATTTAAAAAAAATTTTCTGTGTGCCGTGTTTAATTGTGGGTGTAAAGTAGGACATGTGAAATAAGGAGGGATTTAACAATTTTGGGAACGTCACGTGAGGCTGTCGTAACAATGAAGCTTCTTTGGAACATACATATACAGTGTGCGTTAATGTTCGCATAAGTCCACAAGCCGAACTAATATTTCTATTTTTTGTAAAATCTAAATGAAAACCCTTCTCACGAACGTCAGTTTTTCGGTAATATTGCAAATGCAACTAAAAATTAATTTAAAGCCATTTGACCTTTAAAATTAAAAAATTTTCACCAGTGGAGCTTCTTTTCTTTTTAGTCAATCAATAAATATGCTTCACCTATTCTTGTTTTCTTTTTTTTTTTTGTTCTAGGTATGTGATGTGATATACCGTGTATCTGTGCATCTTCACTGTTAAATTTCTGTGATATAATCAAAATTTGACAATATATTTCAAGTTCTCAATTGGTTATGCGTTTGCTGGTACGATAAACAAAAACTTCACAAAATGAAAAAAGTTACTCGATATCTCAAAAAATTATGTTGTTTTCATCATTCTGACTCATTTTAGCTACTTTTTGTCTATCCGCTTGACGGTCCACTCAAAAGTGTAGAAATTGGCCCACCCTGTACAACAGTAGAGAATTGGTTCATAGCAGTAATCTCGGTCAAAATTCTGTATTTGCTGTTACTTTGATTTGCGTATCAAGTACAAGAACAAAAAAAGTTCTATGAACAAAACCATCTTCATATCCAAAATGAATTTCCTATTTATATTTATTAAAAGAAAAAAATGTCAGTTATCCATGATCAAATCACTCTGATCGCAAATGTGTCACTCTTATCTAATTCTAGCTAAAGGCTGGTTCACGTTAGAACGAAATTAGCAAGAAAATTGATAAATTCTCGAAGAGGTTCAAATAATATCAAATTTTTTATGAAATTCATATTACATCCTACAGATAATAATAAAATTAAAAAATTAGTTAAAACGGTATGTAAAACTGCAACTTGCACATGATAATGTATAAGTGTAACAAACAATAAATAAAATTATGTAAAAATTACCTAGGATTTTATAGTATTTCGTTTTTATAGGAACAACATTTCTTATTAATGCTACTTTTGCGATTTGCAAAAATATACTCACGATCGTTTTAAATGAACCAGCCTCAAGGTGTGCATTTTATTAATTCGAATCTGAAACGAGGAATTGAATGCCCTACACAAAACACAAAATGCTACCTAAATAAATTTTTCAAGATATTTATTTCAAAATTCTGTGGAAGTCCAATAGCCCCTACAATTTTTTTCACATGCTGTTCTATTGTGATTTCCGTCGTCGCGTATTTTCGTTTAACCGTCGTAGAGAGAAGCAATACATTTTTTATTAGAAACGCAGTTGGTGAACCATTTTCTACCCTTTATAAATTGTTTAAAAATTGTTTTTATAAAAATATACTGAGCAAATAGTACACCGTAACCGTTTTTTTTTTTTAATTATTGCCAAAATCATTTTGGGTACTAGTAAGTATTTGGAATGTTATATTCGTGTTGTGAATAAAAAGGGGCTCGTAAACGAAAATATGCGACAATCCGAAGCAGTTTGTAAATTAAATCACTGAAATTAGTCACAAGTATCACTATTTTATTCTACAATACGAAATTAAACATTACCGCACTTCACCTTAAAATTGTTTTAAGTCCACTTCGATCTTCCTCACTGGTTGCTTTAAACAAAAGTCTTTTGTCAGTATATTATATTTTTTATATAGAATTGTAGTTTATTTTTCCTAAAAATTTTTAACATAAAATGTTTGGGCTATTTATCATTCATTCGACATTGCAGCATTTCCTAAATAAACAATTTTATACACACATAGTTTCAAGAAATCTTAAAATATAAAACTTTTTTCATTATTCACAATAGCTAGGAAAATGTTTATGTAAAAAATACCGCGGTGTACTTTCCTCTCAAAATAATAATGCACTTAATATTTTAAAAATTTCTAATTAAAAACTAAAAGATTTTACATGATTAAACTATTTATGACGATAGCTTCAATTTTGTTTAAACCTATTATACTCTACGATCAGGTCCAAGTTCTCATCGGTAATTTCCCTTAATGCTATTTATTAAAAAACAGGATATACATTAGCTCTCTGCACAAAGACAAAATTACACGAAAAGAAATTGGACGGTACAAAAAAAGCATGAATATACCATTTTTACAAAATAAAAGATGAAAACAAATTAAGTATATTCTTTTTACAACAGTGACTCATTTGGGAACCCTAAGCTACACATCACAATTTGTTGTAAATAAATGTTTTCATCATCATATTTAAGTTAAAACCAGAACGCTTATGTACATAGTTTGATTTTTATAAAAAAGAATACATACAAATAAAATCTACTAAACTAAATATCGGGATTACGAAATGAGTCACAAAAACAAGGCGGAAATATGTTGTGATGTAAATGTAAATATTCCAATTTTTACGATATGTATAGCTTAATGTGTTTGAAAAAACATAAAATGTGATCCAACATGCACTTCACACATTCGTAGCAGTTTGCAGCCCAATAAGAAATACGTCACTTGAAGGAGACACCGTTAATGCACCTCCGACGGTTCTGGCTTTGGTGCATGGTGATTCGCTGGATCTGGGGTACTTATCGGCTGTGGAAAGAGAAAATGCTGCTGTTAATATCGCATCGACATTCTACAAAATTATTCTGCTCTACTTTTACTCAACTGCAAATGTTAATTAATTTATTTATTTAAACTGATCCAATGCTTACCTAATAAAATAAATACAGTTTTTAGTTGTTAAAAGAAGAATGAAGTTATTAAAAGATGGAAAGCAAATGAATGTAATTAATCATAAATGTCCACAAATTTGCAACTTTCATGTTTTTTTTTTAACGATTCAATATGTTTGTAAACATAAAAATTATATTATGAGATATTTTTAAAAACTAGTGTCCTTTGATAAAAAAATGCCAAAACGTAATCATAACTATACTGAAGCACATGGAATGTTTTGCTTGAAACTTAAATCCTTCAAATCATCCCAATTTTAAAATATAATAGGGTCATTTCCCATTTTTCTTTTTAAAAGATTCAATTGAAATATGTAACACGTATTTCGTCATTTATTAGGTTATTTTATGCAAAAAAAGGTACACGATTTGTGATAACGTAGATTCTAGAGGAACTGCTGTGTGTACTAGTACAGTCTTCATAAATGATTACAAGCCACGTGACCGCTGATCTTTAGCAACCCAACATTGCACGATTGGTACTATCAACTAAAAATTAGTAAACCTTAGCATCACCAATATTAAATCCGTTTACAATGAACAATGACAAACCGTTGTGTCTACACTTGAGATAATGTAATCGCTGATTTGTTGAACAGAATGTCATGAATGAATGAATGTTGCGTTTTAATGTAATCTTGATCTTATTTTAATTTTACCGAAATTTAATTGTCAACGTGAAGGAAATAAAATTACTGCACCAAACAAAATTACTGGTTAAATGGCTTGTAATCATTTATGAAGGCTCTGTATTAGGATTAACTTTCTATCATGCTGTAAAGGCAAATACACAATTGATTTTAATACACATACAATTTCAGCCTATGATTTGTCAATACTGGCATATTGCGTTTCGTTGCAAGTAAATATGCACTGTAGATTTACACCAAATTCTTTCATACAGCTACCGTTTCAGCATACTATACCACTGTAGGAATGAGAGTGCACTATGTGTGTTCTATTTTTCTTACGTTGCCCGCACAGTTCCGAGAGAGAAATTACTTATAAAGTTGTTGCGATGAAAGGGGTACAAGATTATTGACCATTTCTAGTAGTGCCATCTATACTGCAGGATTACAGAATTCTCGAATCCTGTTTAATAAAAATTTCTATGTTTCCAAAAGGTCCCCGCAACTATCCTTTTGGAAAACCGGTCCCGGTCGAATGGCACGGAACTTTGCCGAATGATAGTCCTCAATGTGTTAATCAAAAAGTCCATGGGACCTAGGTCTGAAAAACTACTAAGTGTTCAGGATGCATAAAAACATAAGATGTCGCTCAAGCAGTATGTGTTGCTATCGCTGTTCTTCAGTACATGCTTCACAGCACACGAAAATACATCAAGAAACAGGTTAGGTATGGTCACTTAATAAAGAAATATTTGTTTATACTCGCCCGTAAATCATTGGACTCGATGGTGATCGAGCAAGTGGAATCGATAACTTCAGAACAGTAGTTTTTCAGACCTAGGTCCCATGGACTTTTTTGATTAACACATTGGGGACTATCATTCGAAAAAGTTTCGTACCATTCCACAAGGATAGTTGCGGGGTCCTTTTACCTCTAACACAGAGGAGTAAACCCCAATCTGCCTTTGCATATTATACAGTACCTAATCATCTATTGTTTTAAGGAATTCCAATAAAACATGAAAAACAAAAGAAGTAATTTTGTTTATTTTCTAAGCATTTAATATTTAAATAACATTTTATTTGAAGTTTTACCAAATAGTCCATTTAATGTGATACCAAAAATTTGAAACTTTGTAGAATCTTTTGAAAAACATCCCCCCCCCCCCATTTTCAAGGGGGAGAAAAATTATTAATGGTTTTGTAGACTGAAACCCTTGCATACTCCATTACAAGTTCTGGGTTTCTTGTCTTTAGCTTGCGGGGGTTTGTCGGAGTGGATTTTTTCATAGTGAATAATAGTGAA